CTCAAAGTGGAACTTCTCCATATGTAAAAGATCTGTGGATATTTGGGGTCATTTGTACCATGTGCTATCTGTAAACTCCCTTATATGTGACGGACAGGGCTAATGAAATTGCCTAAGGTTGATTATTTGAAAGTCCTTGCGCTCGTGTTTATTAAATGAGTTGATAAGCTTATAATACTCATGATTGCAGTTTTCCAATACATTTGTCTGCCATTTATTTTGTTTGTAGGCAGATCGTCTATCGTGATATATGAAAACCTTACCATTTTAAATGCATTCTGAGAAGCAAATCATATTCATTCTATCAAATTTTAAAGTATTTTTTTCTAAAAGAGCAATGCTTTATTCCTGTTTTAAACAAAATGAATCTGGGGTCATAATATTTTGTTCTTAATGCTTACATTTTCATTGTTATGTTTTATGTAATGTTTTTTTGTTGTCTTTTTAATTGTACATACACGGCCCCCCTGCGAGAGCGACATTCGCTTTGAAAGCCCCCCCCCCCCCCCCAACTCCGAGAACGGAAGGACCACATGCGTGTTACCAAAATGTCCGGTAAAGGGGTACTTTTCGTGAGGCAAAGTCCGGCCCGAGAATTGTAAAAAAAGAGGTGTATTAACTTTTCACCCGGAGATTTCTTTAAAAAGGGGGTGTTTTTTCTTTTTTTTCCTCTCATCTCTTTGGACTCCTGAGAAACTATTTCGAATTTAGGGGGTACATTGAGCATTTTTCATGGTTTAGGGGGGTCTCTAAGGCAGGGAAAGCCCGCGAAAAGCCCGCGAAAGGGGGGGGGGTTCGGAAATGTTGGCAGTCCTCAGATAGGGGGTGCATTCAAAAAGAGGGAACAAGCATATGCGTACCCTTACTAACACTGAGTGGGGGGGGGTGGCGGGGAAAAGGGTACTATAATATATAAATAAATTAAATAGAAATGATTAATTCCATTATCAAATAATAATATAGAGTATGGACATTTCTGTTTTACTTTCAGTTTGTGACAAAGCCAACAAGAACTGTGAGTTGGTATGGGATTTGTACAGTAACTGTTGGGACAGCCGATCAAAAGAGAGAGCCCACGGCGGAGTCGGTCTGATGGCCAAATGGTACACCGCATGCACAGGTAAGAATCAATACTCATTAATGATTGTTTATGTTTTATATCTTCTGAAATGCTTACGAGTTAATTAATTTTTGCAAAAGATTATCAAAATTACCCAAATAACCTTCATTATATAAAGGTACGCATTGCAGTCAAAATATATTTACAAATGGCTCTAATGGGAAAAGGAAACTTGGAAACTTTAAGGCAATAACAGACTATAAAGCAAAACACAAGTTAATGACGTATGAAAAACGTTTGCCGTCCAATTATCAAACGCCTAATGTGATCATTTTGTTGTTGTTTTGTTTTAAAGTTATATCATGGGTAATAGAAATGTCGTTTCAGTTTTAAAGCCCAAATGGTGTCAAAATCAAGATTGATAATTCTAGGGAGTTTGGTTAAAATACATTTTCAAACACAACATTACGACTAATTTTCATATTGGTAACAATCATTATTTTCAAATATCGTACATTATGTTGAACCATCGTTTTAAGAGGAGGATTTGGTATGTTAGATTTTATGCACTAACAATGAACACTCCTTTCTGCACAATCAAAATGTATATTATTACATTCCATTTTAACTTAGGATGGAGCCAAACCTATGAACGTCTTCTAACCTTCGACTTCACACGACCATTCTCCCAGAAGGGGAAGGTCGCCCTCTACGCCCAAAGTGGAAGCAGTCAGGATTACTCTGATCTTTCAGGACTCAAAGTTGGTTTCCTAGAAATGTGGTTCTCTGATGAGGCTTGTCTGTCTCGTTTCACCACCGATTCGTCCTTCCCCATCGTGGTATGGATACATAATTATCGTGATGTTTATTCTTGTACAGATTTTATATAAGAACTAACTTCTACCATAGTAGGAGACCAGCCTGTAGGTCCCGTGACCAATCTCTGGGAACAAAGGTTTGAAAGTGTTTTTGTGTTCCCTGATGAATACCGAACAATTTTGTCTTGGGCTGCCCCCTTGAAAATCCAAGGCATTTTCGTGAGGGGTCAACAAAGGTCACACAGGAATAAAAATTCAAATAGTTCCAATCGTGTCAATATGTATATCAAATTACTCGTCAGGTCATAAGGATTCCAAAAATGTATAGTTTGTTATACCTCCGACCTTAAATGAGGGCGCTATTTATACCCTTTTATACATTTAAGTATATGGAAAATGTTGGGCGCCCAGGATTGTGTAATTAGGAATTTCCACTGCACTGTATCCGATACAGGCCAGCCTCACCGAGGCTGGCGCTGGCCTTTAGTTGAGTTTTACATAGTCTGCACTTGTTTCTGAGTATACCCCGAATTTTGGTTGGTACATGGTTGGTTGGTTCGCATTATTAAAAGAATTCGGCATGATTGGTCTCATTTCTTAGAGCAGTGATCGTGAAACCGTAGTTAGACCATTACGTCTATGGTTAGACAAAGGGATGAGAATCAGTGACAGGTGTTGACAAAGTATGATTGATTGCTCGAGGGATGTTCAATTGATTGATGATGTGCTCAAGACGTTTGGGGTGGCCGATTGCAGTCGATGGATGCATGATTGTTGAGATACGCCTAGCCTGTGAGCAGTGAATAACTCCAGCCATCAAGCTATGGGCATATACTTTGTCCAAACGGACGGAGAGCGCCTAAACAGACACGGGACATCCTGACAAATATTCAGTGTCGAGCAAGGTGGCAAACCGTGTCCGTCACAATACTATAACTTATTTCGGCTGCCTTTACATTCATTAAACCTATCTCGACTTTCTTCTTTTTCTTTCGCTCATCCAGTTGTATTTTACTCCCAACTGACCCGTATGCTTCGTATGCGTCATCCCCGCCTTCTCTATACACCCCTTGTCTTTTCCCATTTTCTCCTCCCTCTCCCCTCCATCTCTCTCTTTCTCTCTCTCTCTCTCTCTCTCTCGCTCTCTCTCCCCTCTCTCTCTTTCTCTCTCTCTCTATCTCTCTCTCCCCCCCACCCTCTCTCTCTCTCTGTATCTCTCCCTCTCAACACCTTCTCCCCTCCCCTTCTCCTTTTTCTCTCTCTCTTTCTCACCACTCCCTTTTCCCCTCTCACTATCTTGATCTTCCCCTCTTATGCCGCCATGTATCAATAAACAAATAAAATATATACCTACATGCAAGTGTGTATTCGTTTTCATTCAATGCACATTTTATTATGAATATTCTTCATAGAGTAAAACATTTCGACACAAAAGTGGCAAAATTGAATTATGATGCGTAATCCTGAGGGATCGGCGAAATAATAACTGATATTATGGACATAAATAGAAAATAATGGAATGTAAAAGCTATAGTGTAAACTGTAAAGTTACGTATTAATGAAACCCTTTATTTTGCACGAGGGCACTACTTCGAGTTGAAACCTAGATAATCTACAAAAATGATTAATCAAAAAGAAATATACTGCGTAGCAATTATTGTTAAAAACCGCATCTATCAATTAAACTAATAATACTGTTAAAATGATGTTACTTTGAGCAAATTCTCCTAAACGGCTTGAATAACTACAGATGACTGCTTTCAAGAATGAGTATCCTATTTTTGAACGCGAATTATTTCATTATATTATCTAATCATTTAGAGAAAGAAAGACAGAAATGAAGGGAGAGAGAGAGAGAGGGGGGAGAGAGAAAGAGAGAAATCAAAACGGACTATGGTCGTGTTTTTTTCTGGTTCTAATACTGGATATTAGTATAGGTAGTCACTTTTGAAAGAATACTGGCTATTTAAGTTTTTCTAATCTACTCAAATTAATACATCGGTGATGATCATAATCCTGTCCTATCATGACAATAGGATTTGGGATAAAATTATTTAAGAAAAACATAATCATGAATTTAATTAAATTAAGTACACGTATATACTACTTCTAAACTTTTACAATTTTTCGCGCAATGCTGAAAATAATTTCATTATTTTACACTTTCGCTTTAAATATCTTAACAACAGTTTATGTTACAGTCCTCTAAAGTTTACACTAAAGTTTGAACTTCTTTATACAAAATAAATAATTTACAAGTAAATTAGACCTGGGGGGTGTTTCACAAAGATCTTAAGTTGAACTTATCTCTAAGTTGGACTTAAAAAATATGGAAAGCCATTAGCATCTTTGAAAATATTTTGTAAAAGTTATTTTGAAAGGCATTCATTGTTTATTGAAATCATTCATATTTTCTTTCATCAAGGAGATTTCATGTTCTGGATGTGGAATTAATAAAAAGTCTAAAATACTTGAATTTCTGCTTTTGAATATATTTCATTTAAAGACTCCAATGGCTGTCCATAATTTTTAAGTCCAACTTAGAGTTAAGTTCTACTTAGGATCTTTGTGAAACACCCCCCTGGAATGTTGAAAAGGATAAGTTAAAATTCCTGTACATATTTACAATTTTATATACACATAATAATGAGCCTTCTGCTCACTCTATTATGTGCAAAAGGGGACAGTGCTCGGCTATAAACACACGCCCAAAAGCCCTCTTTTGTATCCATTAATGCGTACGATATCATAATGGTATTAGGACCAGTTATATTCACAAGTTCTTTAGATGACCTTTTCAAAAATAAATAAATTAATACTGCTCTGAACATGGGAATGTATATGTCAACAAAATACTATTTAATAATAATAATAATAATAATAATAGGCATTTATATAGCGCTGTCCATCTAGACAATTCTATTCCGAGGCGCACAAGAAAAATAGAAAGAATGAGAGAGTTTGGATGAGTGTCATAGTGACAGGTATTGTTAAACAAGATAAGATCCATTTTCGGGATGGGTAGGATGGAGGGGGGGGGGGGGGGCTGTGGAGGCAGACGAATGAATAGCAATTGTACAAAACTTGAATTTTGAAATTTCGAATTATTTGTTTGGGTGCCCCACCCAAGCTATATTTGATACATCTGGCTAAATTGATGTGTAAATCGTTTAGCCATTTAGTTTATTTAAGTTTTATTTGAATCAATTAAACAAAACAACCTGCAAACAAAATAGTTCGAATTTAATGTAATGTTGTTTTTTTTTAAAGTAATCGTGGTAATTCATCTAACAAGTCTGGAACATGTCACTGAGCAATCTTTCGATCGGTATCTCTCCGATGATTTGCTTGAAAAAGAGCTTCTCTAAAAACTTGCTGCTGACGGCCCGAAGAGCAGAGAGCATGAGGAGAAGTCGGCCGAACCGTGGGGGTTGGGAGAGGTGAGCGTACCGTACGTAGTCCCCGAGCATGACCTGGGCTTGGTCTTGGAGAGACTCGACGCGATGGGGCTCGCTCAGACCACGGGTCTCTGTTTAATGAAAGAAGAAGAAAAATGAACGATTGATAATGAAATGATATATGATTTGCTACAATGACAAATAATATAATAATAGAAAATGATAACAAATTAATGACATCCACTGAACAAAATATAGTACGAATACAATGAAACCCGAAAAACATGAAAAGTGGTCTTTATAGGCTGGTGGTCTTTATGTACAGGTTCCTTTAGTTTCAATGAAAAACCATATTCAAAGGAAAAGTAAGATGCAATCTTTATACGGTAGACAGGTGGTTTGTATGTAGGTGGTCGCTAAAGCGTGTTCGACTTTGTAATAAAGCATTTTGATTTAGAGGAAACGCTTAGTCACACTTGGTAGAAATTGTCTGAGGAAATCAGTGCCAAATTGCAATAAGGATCCAAAGGGATGAACGTATAAAAATCTTTAAAGAAAAACATCAATTGATTAGGCTGCTCGTAAATAAGAGGAGGTCGTATCTTCTTTTTACATCTCCGTTTCTCCTTTCCAGCTATAGGCTTGTATACCCCCTTTCGATGATGTGGGTAGGCGAGAGGAAGACACGTGCCCCTTCGCGCCCCTATACCCCAATCGAATAAAACTACGCAATGGCGATTGACGTACCTGATTTGAACAATGCTATAGCCTTCAGGCACGCGAACTCGGTGAAGTCGACTTTCATCGCCCGTAGCTTAGCAACCGTCTCCTTCATGTAGCGGACCTGCGCTGCGAGCTCTGCCGTAGTTTCGGCTGAAGTCTTGACTCCCTTCACACTCATGCTCACCGCTAAGGATTTAAGGAGGGCGTCTGATTCGAGAGGGACCGCCCACTGACACATCCCCATCAGAAACAAGTCTCTCCAGGTTTCTTCAAGAAGGATAAGCTGTGAGGAATAAATGAACGCAGAGATAAATAAACAAATAAACATAAACAAAAAAAAATAAACATATAAATAAATATATGAACGGATAGATAGATAAATGAATGTATGACTTTATGAATAAATAAACCTACAAATAAAAAAAAGACTTAATACATGAATATATGCTTAATAAATAGTTGCTTTTTTAAATGCGTTTGTGTCATTTACATTTTTTCCTAATTACTATTTTGTTTATTTGAATAACAGAGCTAGAAACAATAGTGAATTCGGGATTATCTGGCCTTGGAGGGTGGAGGAGGGGGGGGGGTGGAAAAGGGTACTCTTTTCGTCTACTTCAGATTGTGGCAGATCCATGATGTTTTTGAAAGGGCATTGAAATATTGCTTTTAGAAAATGCTGGCAAGTTTCCCCACCTAAATGGAGTTAGGTAACACATTGATCTGTTTGCTAAGGATAGCCCACTTGCATGGGTTTCGAAGAGGGGCACCAAAATCCACCAGTGCATATGATATGTTTTACTGTGGGGGGGGGGGGGGGTTGTCGTGCAAAAATACTCATTAATTATTAATTTATGGATACTCCACTAACCTGATCTCTGAATGGCAGCAATCGAAAACAGGTGATGTTTTTCGCCCACTTCACAGAGGTAAAAAGAAGCCTCGCCGTCACTTCGAGCAAATTATCTGGAGATGTCGTTCCAAGCCCCTTCACTCGACCCACCTCGCCGCCGTCATCCTGCCGTACGGCGTCCAGCGCGAGCGGGTTGATGTTGTAGTGCTCTGCGGTGAGTAAGCTATGGTAGAACGTTCCGTAGTAAACAGACGTAGATATGAAGCCACTCGACGGGGGAGGCAGCGGGGCTGAGGCACCTGTAAGCGAGGACTTGTCCCCGGTTAGGGGGCGGTGCGGTATGGTTAAGGGCAAGATTGAGTGCCCGGTATGACGGGGCAAGGGGCTTAACGATGTCGTACTGGTTGGGGTCTGGGATCGAATTGTACCAGGAGTTCCTGTCGATCGGGCATCTATCGAAACCATAGGCTTATTCTTTGGCTTGCGTGGACCACGTTCGTGTTGCACAGCTGATAAATAAAGAGAGAACGAGAATTAATTTAAATTGTATATTCTTGTGCATCACAACATATTGCTTATTTAATTTCTGGCCAGCATTTATATTCAAGAATCCCAACTTATGTTTGGTAAAGGCACAATAATATGAAGAATATGAGAGGGGGAATAGAGATGCAAAAAAGAAATGAAAAAGAATGACTGATTGTCATTAGATCATGGAAGAATAATTTGACAAACAAAAATACTCTCAGAGATCTAACATTGGTACAGATTATAGTTTTCATGATTTAAAAAAAAATGTAACATTAAGATCTTTTGTGTAGCAATATTCTAAGGGTGTTGTAAATATCACTATTTGATATCAAACAAAAGTAAAAGGAACATACTTTTTGAAAAGCAGAACATTTTCTGTTTTATTAGGCCTACAAATAGCTAATATGAAAAGTTAAAGAGGCCTACAATGGCCAAACACAAACACACAAAAACACGAAAAAAAACAAACATCACCAGAAACACTTCGTATTTTTTTGGTAAGATTACACTGATTTTTTGTTTTATGAAACGTATTATTTCTACAAACAGAAGTAGTACAAATCAAAACAAAGTAAATACAAATTACATCATCCAGAAGTTAAATCAGTTGCAAGTGAAAAATAAATTCGTAAATTTTGTTTTCGTTTCCAGTATACAGCAGAACGCTAATCAAAATAAGCTTATAAATTCTTTTTACAATAAAAAAAGAAGAAAAGAAAATGCTTTGTATATCAATAATAATAATACATGTACCCTCTGAATTAAACATAATACTAAACTAAAGATAGAAAATAACAAAGACACACAACTTTGAAACTCATGGACGATCAGATTTTATTTCTATAAGAGGATTTCAGAAAGCTGTTTTTCCATCGTGATTTGTAGGCTGCTATCAAAGCCATTGCACAGTCTTTCTACTTTGATTGACAACTCAAACACAATAGGAAGACGAGTAAGTAACCTTGTTGTCGTAAAGACCTATCTGTTAAAACAACAACAGACATGCACAGAAGGAAAAGAAATCGCCTGTTGCAGGTGCTTAGTTGGCTAATTTCAGCTTTTTCATGGCTAAAGGTAGAACGTGGGAAAATGTAACATTTGGCACTTTGACAATGGGCGTTTATAAAAGGTGTCATATTTTAGGAGTATCATAATTTTGTCAAAACAAGCGCAGCTGTCAAAGACCAAATTGCGATACTGAGCAAACCACTCTTTCTGGAGACACAATTATTAGGGAATCATCTCTAAAGTAGTGGCTTGAATTACAGTTGTCAAACATTTTTAAAAGCTTGGTTGAAACTTTTAAAAGTGGTCACTCATACTTATTTTGAATGCATGAGAGGCATGACGTCCATACATTACGTAACTATGTATGACTCGGGTTTTTTCCTGACGTAATTTAAATTGAATTGCTATAATATAAATTTAGTTCTGCAATTATTGATTGCCATAATATAGAACCCTATTTTGTATTGGTGTCATATATACTATGAATATGTTTTATTGTTGTATTGAAGCAATACAAATGTTGCAAAAACAAAGATCTAGCATGAGATTAATTCGTTAACGTGCAATTTCATCACAATAGACATGGGAAGCAAAAAAGACAAAGAGAGAGAGAGAGAGAGAGAGAAAGAGAGACGGAGAGAGACATACATACATAAGATAAGGGTAATCAATTTGCTCACACTAATTAATTATTGCTCCAAAAAAGAAGAATTTTGATCTCGTCTCGTCAAAAGACCTTACAGTGATTTTCATTATGCTTCAAGAAAGCCTTATTAATCTATCACAAAATAATCTCAAATATATAAACGCTCATTTTGGGCACTATTATAGTCAGTCAGGGTATATATTATTCCATTGTTTATTCCTCAATTTTTCTTCTTCTTTAAATAGAGACTACCTTGGACATTAATGGGATTTTATTTTGCTAATGGAGAAACAAAGGATCAATTAAATATTCCTCCTGAGCAGTCTTTGTCAATGAGTTATTACCGTAAAAAATGACGGACAACAGACTGCAATCAGTATCATTGTCGTTAAACGTTTAAGCAAGTACATCTCTAAGAGTATATTGTTTCCGTGAGTGGCTCGTGCAAGATCAACGAGAATCTCCTTCACATTTTCTATCTGTCACGGAAAGCAACCACTCAAATCAAAGAGGTCAAATCGCGGACTGCCAGCTATAAATCTCCAGATCCAGATCAAAAGTAATGTAATCCATTATGACATTACAATAAAAATGTAATGTCATACACAATGCACCATCATAAAACACAGTTTTTACAACTAGTCTGCGTGGGAAGTGCATTATTTTATAGTAATTACAAAATGGAGCTCGTGAGCACAGATGTGTATGCAACAAAATGATATACTTTCATTTTCTCGTGCTATCATACCTGCAAAAGACATCTTCATAATCAACAATAAATGTTCAGAGTCACCTAGCAACCAGCCAGTCGTCAGAGTGACATTTTAATGTCTTGATATCCTCTCGAAATCTAGCGAAATGGTGTTACTTCTACTCGACGCCTCCGATTAGGATGCGATCGAGAACGATCTTCAAAAATTTCAAGCACCGCCAGAATCTGAAGTGGCGTTTCGTCACTCCCGATTAACATTCAAATGTTACCCAAAGATAAATATACTTTTTGATGGATAAGCTACAAAATTTTGAATAATGTTGTCATTTTTTTCTTAATTGCAGACACGCTCAAGTGGCTTAACCGAAAGCTTAAAGATTGTGAAGATTCTTAGAAACTGAATTTAAACCCGTAAATGTTTTTCTTTAGGTTCACTCAGTCCCTTATGAGATTATTCAATATAATATTAATAATTTGATGCAAAAGATGACAGATTAAAATGGAGTTCCGTTAAAAAAGAAAGAGTTTTATTTGACCTATACCGATAATTATATTATGTTATCAGAACAAAATCTAATCCTTAAGCAAATAAAAGATTTTATTTGTCAGATTCCATCCCCACCCCTCCATTCCTGTACATAATAGAGAGTATGGTTTTCAATGCAAATATTATAAAGATGCTACCCCCCCCCCCCCAATCCCGCCCCTCTCATTCCCACCCTCGATCAAGTCATCAGGATGATGCCCGGATAATTACAGATGAAATCAACATCAGCACACACGGGAGCAATATCTTGTTTTTATCACCATATTCACAAAACGCTCCATCACTTCGTTAGCTGCTAGCCCGACACCAACGCCAACGCGCTAACACGAACCCTCGGGGATAGCACGCCGTTACTTCGTGGCGGGCTTTGGGGGCAGGTTGGAAAAGTACGAAGTCACACTATATTAACCGCTAGACATGCTAAAAGGTGCCAATGCTCTTTTTCATTTGTATTTCATCACATTATTAGGCTTTTCCTGTTTATAGAAGTTTATGAACGGGTAGTTTCCTTGAATGAAGATGCAGTCAACTTGTCAGTGAGGCCGATTTTATTCCTCAGCGAATTTCTGCCAAATTTGCATTTGCAAAATTAATTACTGTTGTGAATCTACTTTGATTTAATGGAACATTAAAGATAAACTCCAGTACTGGTAAAAAAAAAAAAAAATTCTCACAGAATCAAACGAAACTTACACTGAATGTTCAAGATTACAAATAAATGACATGTGCCAAACAATTTTGGAAGAAAATGTATACTGGCTGAGTAATGAGCATAGAAAGACAAGGAAATCAAGGTAGCCCCGACATCATGTGTGTTGTCCCATATATAGCTTTCTATGTGAGTGCTTGTTACTTTACCAAGACTCGGTCAAATTTATTATGATTTTGATGACTCCAGAACCTTGCAGTGCACAGCAATACTTACATGCTACATGATCAACTGTTTCTGATCCTTTCCACACCTTTTCTTTCACAATGCAATCGCATTACCAGTACTAAAGTTTATCTTTAATGAGACATTGATTGCGTGAAACAATTTATATGATAATAATGTATAATGTCAAAATTAAAATGGTTCAGTCTGGTTTAAATGTTATTTGTCTCCTCTAAAATTGCTCTCATCAACCTCCCCCTCCCTAACTCTAGGCTCCCTTCTCATAAATCATCAATGTATTTAATCCACCACTGTCTATCCTTCTTGTTCCTTCTAAATGTCTTTCATATTTCTCTGTATTTCTCTAACAACATTCCAGGTCAAAGAGGTAATTTTCCTCTCTCCTACAAGATCCAATTATTTTTTTAGAGAGAAATTAAGATCGTTGACATGAAGTTAATCGTTCGGTGTCTAGAGATGGTTTATGTAGAACGTTGACGTTCAATCTGGGCAAGGTGGCTCTCATCATGCGTGAAGGACCATCGTGAAGCTGACGAATTTCTCCCGGTCACTTTCCCGTTGTGGCTTTCCATGCAGGCGATTGATAACACCATAATCTTTTAAACAAGCCAAAAATAAGAACGTCAAATTCACTAGGGAGCACCCCCCCCCCCCCCCCTCCCCCGATTGTAGCCTTTTCCCCTGCATTAGAAATAATGTTAGACGGCACGAACGTGGAGGTATTTGAGAAGGTGGGTTGATTTATTTTCCTCCTCCTAGTGACCTGCAAATTATATAAATATCTTTAGCCGCTCATGTCAACTGGTTTATATTTAAATAATTAACTCAACACACAATAAATTGAAGGCAAGATTTCGACAACAAAAACAACAAAAACTTAAGTAAAACTATAAACTCTGTCTAAGATATTGTCAGTGCTAAAAGCACGTATACTACGCTACAAAAATACAACCAAAAGAATAGCAGTAAATAAATATGTACCTGTACATGTATTATATTCCTCGGGTCTAATGCTTTGAGAGAAAAAAGAAAACTATTTTATTCAAACTCCGACGTAATGATTTTACCAAATTAAGAAATATTATTTAACTGTTTAATATAATATATTGAATAACTGATACGATTTGATAATGCTATTTAGGTCTACTGTAATAATGTCTCTTAACATGCTGCTAACGAATGTTATCAAAGGTCGGGCATACAAGAACACAATGAAATTCATCTGTACTTTGATATCATATACACAATTCTAGAATGAGAGTATGTCCCTGCCGTTAGACCAGGGGCGTTTCACAAAGCACTTGTCGCAGCGACAAGTGCTTTGTGAAACGCCCCCCCCCCCCCCCGGACGCGTTATTTTTTTATGCGGCACAGATTGGGGCTTTTTTAAAAAGGGGTCTTGATTTACAGACTAAAACTGGTCGTGTGCGTACTAGACAGTATAAGTAGTAGAGGTCTGTTTTTAATAGTGTTTAATGTAATCCACTACCGCATGGAAAATCATTACATCAACAATTAAAATCAAATTGGAAATCTGAAGAGGAGGCAGCACGTCAATAAGGAGAACATCACAATAATTAGTCAATAAAACTTAACTAACTTAAACGAAGAGGAATGTTATCTAAACACATAGTTCGCGATGAATATACAAACTTCTTCGCAGCGCTAATGCGCTAGCGAACATGACTAGTCTCGCGTACGTGCAGACACTATTCAGAAGGGAAAGAACGTACTTCCCATAGGTTTAACACGCGCCATGCCCCAATCTGTGCCGCATAAAAAAATAACGCCCCCCGGACAGACTCTTTATGAGCGAGGAAATCACAACTTCACTCACGTACACATGGCCGTAACACAAATTCGTAAATCTAGTCTAGGACTTTAGAGTTTGGCCATGGTTTGACCTACTCAACAAAGCAACAATTTATACTGAAATAATAATGACCTATATGCATGTAGGTGTACTTCTAATTCCTTATTATATCGCACATAATATCGATCGAAATATCTAAATTTGTAACACCAAGCCCAGAGAAACTATCACGTACAGAAAATGCAGCACCGCAAACGAAGAAATCATTTTTCAAAGAATACTGTATTTGAGCGGACACTATAAAATAAAGATGTATATGAATGCAAGGAAACATATTTATTTGAAAATGTCAAATTTGAGATGTAAATATCATCTTTGAAGAAGAATCAGTGTAAAACTGTATATCTTTTACTTTTCCAGCTAGACTATCGAATTACATTTAGACATAGAAAATAAAAGAAAATCTGCACTTTTCAGTGTAGGACCAGTCTAAAGTACAAAGAACGCGAGGAAATGAAGTCCTAGTACATGCGCAGATGACACATGAAAAGAATCTTAAAGACTCAATTTCAATGCCATGAGATAACACAGCGGCCGAAAGATAAACTCTGCATCCTTTCAATAAAACTCTAATAAAAGCCATCTATTGGTGAAGCCTCTAGCGTCGCCTTTTTAGCCCGAGGGCAAATCAACAAGCTTCGCTCAATCTCGAGGATAGAGCTATTATTCAAAAGTATTCCTTTTATCCCGTTCCTGTCTTATTTTAGGAGCAACTTTGAGCAATGAAAGCAAAGCGCGAGCCGAAAAGCGGCCCAAGTAAAGTGCGACCGAAGACTTGCGCCGTCTCGTGCATTTTCGTTTGCAGACGATCGCATGGTATTGACTTATTTGTGTTTGGCGCGCAACGAGAAGATAGGATGCGAAGGGCATCCGCTTGAAGATGTTATAACAGACATACATCTGTCATCGACTTCTTGAGGAATGAAAATGTCAAACCCTTTTACGTCTGCCTCGTCGAAAGGATGTCTTTTTGGACAGAGTTGTAGTGCTGACGACCAACCATTCGCTGAAGCAAAGAGTTTCCAGAAGTGTACGTTGCATGCTATATGAACAGGGTCAATCCTGTCATAGAAATTGGACCTCATTATTAAAACAAGGAGAGGGGTGATTGGAAAGTATGTGCTTTACGGACTGATGTTTACTGTTCATCGAACTATCAAACTATTGATTTATAAATCATGATGAAAGACGCCTCGTTCATATCGAGATATGAATATGAATTAATGTCATCAATATTGCTATTAGTATAGTTATTTATTATTATCATCATTATCATTATTATATATTACATTATAATTATTGTTATCACCTAAAGATTATTGCTATTATCATTATTATTATTATCATTACTATTATTATTATAATCATTATTGTTGATATTATTATTGTTAGTAGTAGTATTACATAATTATGTAGTAGTAGTAGTAGTAGTATATTTCCACAAAGCATAAAAAATGTAAGAAAATGTTCCTCGCGTTCAGATGAATAGTGATTGTGTAGTAGGAAAAACTGAATTAACACACTTTATACTGCATAATCCACATCCTATGACAACTTGCAAATTTATGCATGAAAATCTCAAACTTAAATCACATAAGATATCATTATAGAAACCATCCACACACAAAAAAATTCCGGTGACATTTTGTAGCCATAAATCACTGCATCAACCTTCATCAGATTTTTAATGATTTCCTTTCATTCTTGTCTCTTCTCAAGTACAAGGAAAAGAAATCCATGCCAGCGATTGTATTTGTGCAACGGAGTCTGAGCGTGCGGTTCCCCTTCAGAAAAGCGTTTTCAATCTTTTATTTGCGGAAATAATAATTGAAAGAAATTTCTCGTGGTTTTGTTAGGCTATCATAATTTGGTGAGTGCGGTAAATACTGCGTGAATGCGTAAAAGACTTGCAATATTGTCTAAACAAACAATTAGACAAAATGAGCGCACACGCGTCTTCGTCCGTTCGTACGTCTCTTTATCGACATTCCCCCTTCTCTTTCTCCCCCAATCAATCGTGTCACATTTATTCGTGACAAAATGTAGAGCAATTAGTGTTGATTGACTTGAATAAAAGCGTTGTTAGGATTATAAGCGCATCATCACTTGATTTTTGCACTTCACGTGACAAGCGATTATCTTAGTTTAAAATGTATTACTAAAATTAAATATGAAGCAGTTTGTCCAGAATGCCTTAAGATTTTATGCATGTTTTCGAACACTCTCAGGCAAATCTCATTTAACACAAATGTATACAAAAGCATGAATAGTTTTTTTTTACATTGAAACGGCGCAAACAACATAATTTTAAAAAGGACATCAAAACCGGTTCAAAATTATGGCAGTAATGCCTGTTCTGTTTTACACTTACATTAATTCTTCATTGAACCGTTAAAAATTTGCACGAAGATGAACACATCAACAACATCAACAGCAGCACAACATACTTGCATAAAACAGATGTTCACCAACACTAAGATGAAGATCATCACCAAGAACGCATACATTTGCATCAACACCAACACCAACACCAAGAACATTTACATTTCCACCAATACTTACACCAACTCCAAGAAATTATACATTTACACCTGCCAACGCTAACACCAACACCTAGAACTTAGCATATACCTTTACAACAAAATTAACACCAACACCAAGGTCTTATACATTTACACCAACACTAACATCAACATCAAGAACTTCACCTCTCATCTTTGTACCAACACCATATTACAGTATAACAGCACCAGCACAATGCAACACCAAAACGGAAATTGAAAAGTGCTCTCACCATCCTTGTTCATCTGGGCTTCGAAGCATTTCCTAAGCCTGCATGCCCGGCATTGGTTGCGATGGGTCTTGTCTATGGGGCAATCTCCTCCTCCTTTCCCTTGTTGCTTGCAGACGTAGACTCGGCCTCTGTGGATGCTTCGCTTGAAGAAACCACTGCACCCATCGCAGGCGTAAACACCGTAGTGCTTCCCCGAGCTACGGTCACCGCATACTTTACACGGAATGTCGAGAAGACGATCACCTGTAGATAAAAAATAAAATAAAAAGACAGAAAATGTGAAAGATTAAAATATGGTATAACAGGGAAAGTATACAGACGATTTAAATAGTTATGACGAAAACCATACCTGATGATTTCGAAATCATTTGTATTTTATGATGAATTAGATAATAAAAAAACATTATTCGAATTCAATTACAGTGTACTATATTTTTCATATCAACTGAACAAAGCAAAAATAAATCGTTTGTAGAAATAGTATTTTATATTTAAAAAAATATCAACCAGCATATTGATACATGTGTTGCACGAAGTTCATGCATATTCTTAATGGGTTTGTTGGCTATATGCATACACAATGAACAAATTACTTTACTTGCTTATCACAAATAAAATACAAAAAGTGTTCCAAATAATGCCTGTCAATATCATATTCGTCAGTCACAAACCGTTTAAAAAAAACTGCACAACTACCCAAAAAAGTACCAGATTTATTACCTTGATCGTTTCAACAACAAATAACTAAAACATACCTCTGATAAAACTAGGATCCCTCATTTTGTGTTAACTTTGTAAAAGAAAGCAACTTTTGTTAAAAACTCCAAAGTATTATTTGCTTGAACGGTAGCAGATACAACTGATGACAAATCACGTCCTAGAAAGTCTTCTTTTGGAATACTTCGCAGAATGTTTGCCCGTCCCAGAACTGTCTTGGCTTACTCTGAGAACTTGACCGAAATGTCCCCGCCTTAAGTATAGTTGAAGCAAACAAAGAACACCTATTTTCTCAACAGATAATAGTCAAAAGTAACAGCCATGGAGACATATCGAAACTTGATTTGTTATTTTAGAATCTTTTCACAAGAGTTCTTGGCACACAGCGGGGAGTGGTCGAAAGCATTGACCAATCAGAATCGAGTTCAGGCTGGTGTCGCGGGTGATTCGCGAGCCAATCGCGAGTGGTTCGCGAGCCGAGCGCACGACCCGAGTTTGTTCGGCAAACAACCGAGACAATGGCGAAGTGTCCCGGAAAAACAGCTCGCGAAAAATACACTTGTCACATCTAAGTTTTCAAAAGTATTATATACTTGTTACTTTAAACAAAATTTGTCCTTACAAAAGTGTTTGGGGGCCAGACAGTTTTGTTTATGATGCGCATATCAGTGTCTTTAGAAAAGTTAGAAAAGTTCCCGGGTTCGAAGCAAAGTCAATGCGCTCGCGCCCTTTGGTAAGGTACTAGGCTTACTCCTCATAATCAAGTCCCTCAGAGAGGACTCAAAGCCGTTGGTCCCATGGTTGCTTACTTATAAGAGTACATGCTTCCTTATCATCAAACAACATATAAACATAAAACGGGGCAGAGAAAGATAAAAAGGAAAGAGAGAAAAATACAGAGAGAGAAAGGGAGAGAGAGAGAGAGAGAGGGAGGGAGAAAGAGAGAGAGAGAGAATGTTCTCCAAATAGTTTATAAAGAAAATATACTTTTTAAAGTTATGTTTTCATAAAGCCATCTGTCATGTCTGTTTTGCATCGACAAAGGAACTGCATTGTCATTGTCATTTCAGATCTCTTGCATCAATTACTTCTTTATCAAGAAAATGACTTGCATAGATCATCAATTCATATCACACTTTCAATAAATATTGCAAAGTGTTAAGCCTAAGTATCCTGAAGAGCTGATCAGCTTAACAAAGTAGAAGAGAAAATGCTATAAATTGGAACACACTTACAGCAGATTAAAATGGAAATAGGGAATGCATTCTTAGATAATATTAAACAATTATATTCCGAGTATGGAATTATAATGTCCATTTTTTGCGCCTGGGCACAAGTAAATAGCAAATGATTTATCGTTTTTTCTCTTTAGAGTTGACATGTTTAAGAACGCATAATTTTAAGGGATAAGGATGGTAGTTAAAATTATATAAGATAAAAACAAGGGGTAGCTATTTAGTTGTTTTGATGTTGGCACTTGTATCACCTTGGACTCCTTAACAAAGTTCAAGAATCAACTCGCCCTTATGACAGTTAAGTTTACAAGAACAGTTGCCCAGATTGGTTCTTCTCCAAGAATTGAACACGTAGATGGATCTTTCAAGACCAGTTGCACAAACATGAGGTTTAATTGTCAGATGCTTTTATCATCTCCTTTTCACAATTTGGCTGTCCATCTAAACAGGTTGTCAAAACATTCTGGGATGGATCGAGGCAACAAAGGAAAGGTGGTACTAAAGGACGGAGACTTCTTTGTTGCTGCGAAACGAATCGAGGTGATATACATTGTACTGTCTTCTTTTCATCCCAGGTCTGTCAGTAGACATCATGTCATAACGTCGACAGAATTTGCAGAATATCAAAATGCGTATTTAGATTAAGAGAGATGAATGCGGGATGAATGAGTTATCTGGAAAAGTGATCTGATTTTTCGTTGAAATAGATATGTGGTTCGTCTGCTGAAAGCCAGAACGTTAACTCACATCAATTCCCATCGAATTGATACCCTTCTGATACTATGTCTTGATAGAGGAGTTTTCCGGGTCTTTACAGATGACTGCGTGGAAAGAAAAAACTAACTTGACGAATGTAAAAACCGGTGTGGTGTAACAATGCCAGAGGTAAAAAGGTTAGAGGTAAAAAAAAAAAAAAGTCAGAGCAGATGTCAGAGGTGAATATGCCAGAGGTGAAAATGTTAGAGATAAAAATATCAGAAGTCATTTTTTTTCTCTGACATTTTTACTTGGCACCGTAAAAACCTACTGCACTGGGGAGGTGAAACTCTCGTTTAGCTGGCCAGGGTCCCAAGGGGATGACACCCAGGCTTACATCATCAGAAGGGCTGTGAAGGGAGTAACCCTGTTTCAGTTCCAGGAGTATGTGGCTGAGGCCCCTGGTAAAATTTGGCTATGTTTGCTACCAAAGTCATCTTATCAACATGCTAAAACACCTTTCACGTTTTATGCCCTTTTAACCTTTTGTTTTTTTAGATTAAGGAAAATTGAAATTTGTTGGTAGATTTTTTTGTTTTACCTCACTGCTAAGAAAGCAAGAAATTAACAACCAGGTGAACGACGGCTTAAAGTCCTCTCCGAGGGACTTGTTAATAAGGATTAATGCCTTACCAAACTGCACTATAGTGCATCGACTTGGTTTCGAACCCGGAACCTCCCGATTACGAGACCACTGCTCCACCACTCGATTGATCAGTGGTAGAGCAGTTCTTGAGGTTTTTTTATAGTTTTTTTTTCAAATCTTAAGATGGTTTCTGGTAGGTCCTTAGAATCCCCCCAAAAAAACTGAAAGAGAATTAGAAAAACAATGCATTCAAAAACTTTTTGTTGTGAAGAAAGACATTAAATTATTTTTGCAAAGTTCATTGCAAAGTTCATCGCTACGATATCGTTCAAAAGTTATAACAAAGTCCAAAGATTTATACAAATGAAAAGAAGAAAATCAGCATGAAGTGACCTCTTATAGAGAACCAGATTTTGATTTTAAAGGTATTTCCACCACAGCTTCGATCGTGCTGACTATAGAATTGTTTTAAAATACACATTTTCTTTGGGTCTTTTAGGGGTTAGCATTTTTCGTTCATAAAGGAGTTACAAGAACGAACAAAAATAGCACAACTGCAGCCGTACAAATGCATGTTTAACAGGTTCTGTGAATTGCTTCCGTTTTTACGCTCAAATGCGCATTTTCTGCCTAATTTCACAACTGAAACTCCACTGAGTCAAAATGAGTTTTTAAAGGGCTAAATTCCCATGCTTTATGAAAAATTTCCCTTTTGCGACAGGTCTTGCATTTTGTTTGAAAAGAACTTGAAAGGTTTCGGAGCTCACAGGTTCATTACAAAAATGACAACTTTACACGATTTTGATATTGTTACCGAATTTGTGTCGCATTACTGACGCGTTATTGCTCTTAAGCTGCAAGGGTCGATCTCTACCTTTCTCCCTTTCTCTATCCCTCTCTCTCTCATTTCCCTCTCCACTCTGAAGGAAGAAAGAGAGATAATATATTAATATTTATCTTATAGTTTTCTCCCTTGTCCTTTCTGTCGTCTCTCTCTCTCTCCCTCTTTCTCATTCTCTTTCTATATATATATATATCTCTCTCTCTCTCTTCTCCAGTTTTCTTTTTTCCTCTGTCTCTCTGTCTCTCTCTCTCTCTCTTCTCCACCTTTCTCATCTCTCTCTCTCTCTCTCTCTCTCTCTCTCTCTCTCTTTTCTACCTTTCTTATTTCTCTCTGTCTCTCTGTCTCTCACTCACTCTCTCTCCCACATATTCTCCCTCTCTCTCTCTCTGTATCTGTTTCAGTTCCACTCTATGTGAATGTGATTCGGAGTCACATAAACTACTCTAAAGTTGGATAGTTTCACTTTGAAATATAGCATTATCCGATCTTTCGAGTTAAAAGAAAATTCATGCATGTGTTCTCTAATAAATTTTCACTTGCACTCTTAAAAATAATAGGTGAAATGTTTTGCGCAGCACGTGGTAAATTATGTATTTAGCCAATTTGAGGCATTAACAAAAAAAACATCTACTTGAATAATCCAAATACGGTAAAAATATAAAACAATTACTTCAAAATGGGCAAAAATATTAACAAGTCGGGTAGAAAAATAGATAATGCCCAAAGTTGTGTGGATAGATAATTATCTTCATGGTAAATTTGGAAATCCTCTTTTGAACTGATATTGCAAAATTATATTATCCCACTACGTTATTTATGTCAATGTTGTCGTTATGGAAAGAAGACAAAACAAGTTAATACAGAAAAAGCGTCTGAAGACTGAGCCAGAAGGGCGTTAACTCTTATATTTTGTTTTTACACAGAGCAAAAGTTTTAAGCATTACTAGATTTGAAATACATGTATTATAGGACTGTTGTATTTTTGCGTTTTTTTTTATTTGACATTAATGTTTACCGTTCTTTCAGTAATGACACTCAAGTCATTGCCTAAAGTGAATGAGAAAAAAAAATGACAAAAAGACAAACCGAAGAAGCCACTTAGAAAATTGTAGAAGCTGAATAAATAGTTATCTTCAGCTAAAACTCGATCAAAGTTTATTTTCCCACGGTATTTTGGAGGGACCGATCAATTTTGGGGGGAGTTTTAATCCATAAAGAGAATATTGTATAAAAAAAGTTAAAAATGGCTCTCGAGACAGCCAGCATGGCAATTTATTGTCCATTCATGAAAACCTGCGCATCCCGCAACAGTTTCCAAGGTTATACAAGTGTCTCTTCGAAAAACTTTTAAACATATGGTAGATAGGAAGGTGGGTAAAAAGAGATTGTTGAAAAAATAGATATAAATTATGGGAGAGAGAGAGAGAGAGAGAGAGAGAGAGAGAGGAGAGAAAGAGAGAAGAAAAGATAAAGAGAGAGCGAGGTAGGAGGGGAGAAAAAGAGAGAGCGAGGTAGGAGGGGAGAGAGAGGAAAAGAGAGAGAGAGAGAGAGATGGGGAGGGGGTGGGGTGGAGGGAGAGAAAAAGAAAGAGAAGAGGGGGAGGTGAGAAATATAGTGGAATGGAGGTGACTCGAAAAAATTATCTAAAAACTGATGCGCTTTGGCCGACAATGAGAAACAGAACATTACTAAACTTGCAAAAAGAAAATTTAAAAGTGTAAAATGCCAGAAATAAATTAAGATACATGTACAGGTGGAGGGAGGGATGGGGGTATCAAACTGTCTTTTCCTAATTGTATCGCTCTCTTTACTTTTACGATGCGTTCCACCACTCTCTTCGTGAACTTCACAGACTACAAAGGAATGTGTGTGCCATGATTTTGATTTGAAATGAAAACAAAAGATGAAAAGGACACCCAATAAAGGTCGGTGGACCTGTGAAGTGGTCGTGTGCGGCTCGCGACCTGCGCGTGGGAACGTTTTTCAACGGCGTCTTGTACGACGTGTGACTGGCTTTGTGTCGCACGCCACACACGTGTGAGCAATTCTATTTCTCCACCCTCTCTCTCTCTCTCTCTCTCTCTCTCTCTCTCTCTCTCTCTCTCTTCCTCTCCTTTTCTCCCTCTCTCTCTCTCTCTCTCTCTCTCTCTCTCTCCTCCCCCGACTCTCTTTCTGTCTCTTTCCCCTCCCAATGTATTGCCTCATCTCTCCTCAATATCCCTCTATTTTGTTTCTCTATCAATTCGTATACCCTTCCATTGCTCCATAAAACCCCTTCTGATTGTGTCTTTGATTTTTTTTCTTATTAACGTCTTTTGTTTTATGTGCACAGGAATGAAAAAGATCTGTTATTAAATCAGTTTGATGCCCGGATGATTTTGTAAATTACTGTTCCTATTTAGCCTATTATTCCCATGGAAATAAACATTTTACACTTTCAAATTAATCTATTGTTAAACGTAAAGTTTGTTTTTTTAGCATCGATACATCAATTAATTACCAGCCAAGTATTCAAATGTTCTATAATTTCTATTTTGCCTAATCATGAACGTTTTGTTTCCAAAACTTAATATTTGCATGGAAGTGTGAATTATGATTTGTTATGATTATGTACTTACACTTCTTATTAATGTTCTCTTTTTTTAAATCGATGATCCTATTTCATAACCATTTTAACATTGTAAACATTGTGCAATTAGTCCCTGGACTACTAATTTGTATTTTTAACAAACCGCATCGAGCTGAATCGAGTTTAATAGAAGAAAAAAAAAGTGAACATTTCTTCCAAAAGTGAGATTGCATTTATGCAAACTTATTAATATTTGTAAAGCCCTATATACGTCTCTACGACCTCTTTGAATTTTGTATTTACAATAATGTGCTTTGCCATATTTCATCTTTCGTCTCCTTTGTCTTTTACTCTTTCATATATTTGCTAGTGCTCAATAACAGGCCTGCTCAATAAGATCTAGTCTAAAACATTTGCGTGTAATTCATTGTACCATACCTATGGTAAAGTGCCAACCCCACCATTAATTGATAGCTCTGCTTGGTATAAACTGTAGTATGGCCTTCGTTGATTTTGATGATTATTGACGAATTGATATTGAAAAATATTATGCATATCGCATAAGAAAATGTCAGGTTTATTTTTCTAATCTAAGAAAGCAAAAATTATTGTAAATACGTTATTCCTTTTCGCACTCCTCTTTTGCATTTAATGTATAAGTGAGCCCCATGTATAGATCCGCCACTGAATTCCTTTAAAGTCCCTAGCTCTTCGTTTATGACTAGGCAGAGTTACCGAGATGAAACTCAGACAGAATAATTATGCCTCTAAAAAAAAAGCAAAATGAACTTTAGACCGCAAGAGTGTAAAAGCTGCTCCCGCGCCCTCTCACAAACGTTCTCTCGTATTAGCTGTTGGGTGGCGCCACACAGCAATGTACACCTGCGTGAGATGGTGGCAATCTTAATACCAGTGGGACCGCAACGTTAATTAAATGTGTGAAATGCAATAAACTACGGATTAAGAAGCGTTTTGATGCAGAAAGCTAACATGTCTCGTATATGGATGACATAAAACGGGAGGTAAATTGATGTCTGATGTAAAAGCTATGAGGGCAAAATGGTTGTCCGTGTGCACTTTAAAGTGACTCGGTAACATTGCCTCAGATTCTGAAACAAAATCCTGGATTTAGCTCAAATCCCCCTTCTATTTATCTTCTTTCGAGAGACTTTATTTGTTCATATCATAACATAACAGCTATTTACAACAGTGTTCATGAACAGATTTAGCTCATGCTGTAATCATAATTTTAAACATTTAGGTCAGTCAGGAATCTCATGACTTTTACAAGCCGACCGCCTGTCTGATTATCAAGATATTAATGATTGGAAATCGAAGTTTTATTTTTCGTTTTCCTTACGGTGTTTATAACACTACAGTCTATTGGGGAAAATGAGTATGGTAAAACCGGTCACTAAACTTTACTTTTTTGAGGCACTACATGATCATTTAGAAGCACAATTTTTTAGGGCTTCAATATTACACCATATCACAGGTACTGATAACACGTAGGGCCATGCACCTCATATTTAATATTGTTAAACGATGCCTTTAAAGTTCGACGGTTCGAATGTTAAAGTTCAGTTAAAAGGATAGTTGAGTTCTGTTTTCAGACCGCAAATGCTTTCAAAGTGCATAGTTATTGCTCTTATTTTTATTTATGACATTTATCGTGCCCTTTCATAACCTAAAATTGCTATAAAGGTAATTTTAGACCCCGAAATGTGTAAAATTTAGCCAATACGATCATACCAATTCAGCTACACTTAAAAAAAAAACACAGTGACCGTTAATTAATTATTTAATTAAAAATAACAATACGTGAGCCAGCTAAATGTGGATAATATAAGCAACACGAAAATGCCAACAAAAAAGCCAACATCGGCATTGGCTGAAATACGACGTAAAAGGCGTTATTTCGTTTTTTCAACGGTTTTTTCAAATTTTTCAAAATATCTAATAGTAATATTTGTGGTGGTACACAAGTATTAGAAACCGTTATATTTCAACCGTCTCTGAACCGATTTTGATCAAACAAAGATGATTTTGTCATTTAAATATTATGTTCTTTCAAATTTGACACTCAGTTTTTAACCTTTAAGCTGATAGATGATTGTTTCACCTGATCGCTAAGATGAGTATATTGAAGGTTTACACTTGAACAAACTGTAAAATGTCACTAAATAGATTAATGAATGAAAAAACGAATAGACCAAAAAGTAAATGAATGTATATTAAATAATTGATTATATACATAACTAGTCAAATAAATTAATAAATAATAAAAATACAAATATAACGCTTTACACTTGTTTCCTTTGACATTATAATTATATTGTCTTCCCACCAACAGAAAGTTTCCTTCTTTGCTAATTTTTATTCGAGATATATTCAATCGCTATCTCTCACCATTTCATTTCTTTTTGTTTTGGTTTGTTTTATTTTTCTGTTGGTTGTCTGTCTGAAAAAAATTGGAAATTGAATCTGTTTCATTACAATTGCAATCTACATATTCATTGCAATGGTAGATGTAGAGATGAATACACAACGTGAATCATATATTTGAAAAGAAATTGAAGTAAAGGTGTAAATACAAAAAAAAAAAAAAAAAACATAAAACATATAAACAAACAAACAACAACAACAAAAACAACAACGACCAAACCACTTTTTGACTACAGTATGGACAAATTGTCTATGGTTTTAATAAAGTAAGCAAAATAAAAGAAACAGTTGCCGTGTTGGTTACCATTAATAGCACAGTTAACATCAATGGTATAGTTTTATGCAACGGGGGCCCTGGCGTCGATCTCGTTAGTGTGGCTGTGGTTATGGTATTGGTATGGCTGTGGTATATTTATGAAATATGTAAGAAACAATAATTGTCCCGTTATTTGGAACTCTATTCCTCCTGAAATATCCTCATGCAAGTCTTTAACATAATTTTAAAGAAACTTGAAGCAGTATCTTATCTCTAAATATCAATGATTCTTGTACCAATAATTACATTCTACAACGTTTCCTACAACTGTTTCCAAATTTATGATTTTGTAATGATTACTTCCATTTGTATTGCCGTGAACGATGCCCCTGTCATTTTTTGTCATGTATGTCTCTTTGTTAGTTTTGTTTGTATAAGTAAATCTCTTAACTACTTTTCGGTGAACTATGCCTCCATAAGGCCATTTGGCCTTTAAAAAAAAAAGGTTCCCTATTTTCGTTTTCTTATATATTGCAAATGCTTATTATTGTATATTTGTATTGTTTTTATTGAAAATGGAAATAAATGAAATGAATTGAATTGAATTGAATTGAATTAGTTTGTCTGGTAGATGAATACTTACTTATCTTGACCGGCTGTCGTTGCTCCGGTCGAATACACGGCGTCGAGATCGGTGTCAGTGTTAGCTTCGGCGGCGTCAAGCCCACAGTCCCTGAAAAGGAACAATGCTGGCCGTCCTCATCGTAGCTCAACATCTCCATGTTAAAAAAGTCTCAGTCACTGGTTGATTTTCTTCAATTTTCAAACAGGAGAGAGAGCGTCTAAAGATATCAGGTGGTTGTCCGAATACAAAAGTCTGCAAAGTCTCACAAATTCACCCAAAGTTTTATACAATTATGTGAAAATTGATTGTTAATATGTCGACAGTTTCATTTAAAGTAGTGAAACAATTGCGAAACATCAGTTTGCAAGATTAAAATGCATTTAGTCTTCCTTGAAAGCTTTACTTTGCAGAAATATGCTCACGATAAAGAATGCTCATTAGCAGTCTCGCAAAACTGTTTCTTAACCTTGATACCTTGGATCTGGATCCAACACGATCAGCTTGAAAACGAAGTACGTCCTCAGCGAGCTTGCCAAATATATTTGTCTTTAATTGGTGTACGACGATGATATTAGGCAAGTGCATACGATCGAAACATAATTCTAGACCCGATGACGTCATGGTTTATCACGCAGTAGGGAGTTTGGCAGGTTGAATATGGTGCATTTTTATTGGAGAGAATGTGGATATCGGTTGTATAGGGTGTCCCTGAAAAAAAAGGAAACCGAGGATTGATGGGAATTTACTAAATTATCCCAAATTAGGTTTTAAACTTTTCATCAGTGTATAAATCATTGAAAGCTCAATTCATGATACCAACAATAATGATCAAAAATTCTCGCATGACCTCTTACATCTCTTACATTTTGGAGTGTTGGTGTCGAAAACCCGATTGTCCCAATAAGCAAATGGCTGTTTCGTTTAGCTTATGTTTTTTTAAGAAAAAAGAAAGATATTTGAGATGAATAATTTTGGCAAATGCATGTACACATCAATAAAGAGCTCATAACTATGATGCAATAATTATGATGGAATGATATAATGCACGAGTGAGAAGGCACAAATCATTATTTGTTAAGCAAATTGACATTTGCTCTGGTGTCTCATTCAAAATTGTCAATGAAGTAAATATGCAATTACACATTATTCTCCCTACTCACTCATATGTGATCCATCATAATTATGCAAGATGAAAATATGAGCTTTGACTTGATGTGTGTTTTCAAAAACTACAAATTCAAAAAGAATTTGATATCTTTTCAAAACAATGATGAACCAAACGAAGCAGCTTTTCGGGTTTCTAACACTGCAACTTAATGCTATCTGAAATTGCTCATGTGTGACTAATTGCTTAAGACTTTGATGTAATATTAAAGAAAGTAACATATTTCAATATATATATATATATATATATATATCCAATCATGTATACATTTACCAAAAACTAATTTGAAATTATTCCGTAACCTTGGTTTTCATTTTTTCAGGGACACCCTGTATAATGAGAACCCATACATCTGGCCGGCCCGCGATTAGCGATTGCGCATGTCCACCTCACCGTCTGACTAAGTGGCCTTTTCTGATTGGCTGGCCATTTTGATAATTACCACAAAAATAGAGTTATTTTTTTTGGAATGCAATGAATTTAGACACGAACTGTTAAAGGTACTATGTCCCATTTGCAGGCCAACAAAAATGAAAAAGTTAAATTCCAACTGCATTTGAAAGATAATACTAATTTAGAACTTCCCTAAAAAAGATGGGGCTTGAAAATGTCTTCAAGTGGGAAAATAATGACTATTAGTTGTCAAATTGACTTTAGGGCTATAGAGCCCAAAAGTAATAGTCTTGATTTTCAATTGTACCGAATGGTCATACGTTTTATGCTGCGCAAAGATACAATCAGTTTAATCTTGGCCATTACAAGAAGTGGTTTGATGTAAACAAATGCTCATGTACCCTTTACAACTCTTCTCATGTATGTTATTACCAAAGAAGAAAAAAGCCAGTCAGTCACAAGTAGTGTCTGACAGTGAAGTCTTGCAAGTAAACGGGTTTCCTTGCATAATTTGAATAGGAGGACACTGCTAACGTTTAAATTTCAACAGATAGGACATACATGACATATTCATAATTCCTGCAAAGTTCTACAGAATTTGAGGTTGGCTGCAAAAGGGACATAGTACCTTTAAACATTACATGGATAGCAGTAGCGTGATTTACTTACCTATAACTGGGATTAAATTACTCTTAATTTCCTTTCTCTTAATATTACTATTAATTAATATGATCTACTTCAGTTTTTAATACAAAACTTCATGGAAGCAGTATTTCTGCAATTTTGCATGTGATTTGATTAATATAATTATAAAATTATATATCATTGATCTACATTTCGATATTATCACATTGTTTGAAAAATTGTTTTCTGTCTAATTTCATTCTTTTCTTTTTCTGTTCAAATGTCCTTTAGTGTATAATATTTGTTTTTCCTCATAGCTGACCAAAGTCGGGAAGATCTTTTTTTTTTTTTGCAGCGATTCATATTTAGTTGCTTTAAAAGGGGCTTTTTATTAATCTAAGTTTTGCTTGTCACCTAATATTTTTTGAAAACCAAACTACTGACTTCGAGGCCTTACTTTAACATAACTGTGTCAAATTACTTGACTTTGTATTTTGCTGTTTGTACTGTTCATTCTCGAGTAAACGATTTGTATGTGGGTGCATTAATTTTATGGACCAATTAATAACCTCTGCGTAACATTTGAATTCCATTTACGATCGACATCCTCAATTCCAATCAATTGTAAACTATATTTAACGCCATGCAAAAAGTCACGGCTGCAGAGCGGCGAGTGTATAGAGAGCGAGAGGGACTAGGAGGGGGGGGGGGGGGGACTTACCCCTCCTGACGGGTTTCCAACTCTAAAAGGAAGACCGACCACGCATATTAGGTAATCATTTGTGTTAGGATTTAGAACGTTAATAATACTAATGACAATAGTAATAATAATGATAATAATAATGATAATAATGATAACTTATACTTACAGTACATTGCTTAGCAAACGCATCGAGCATTATTTTGATTGTCAAGTGGATTTGGCGCCTTACAAATCTTATGTATTATTATTATTACATTATGGTCTCTATGCGTGTCAACACTGTATTAACGGCGTAAAAAAACGTAGATTACACGTTCCAGAACAATCGTGTCTTCAGCTCTGATTTAAATTGATCCAACCGAGTGATATCCCTTAAATTATATGGGAGTTTGTTCATAAGTTATGGTGCTATCTTTTGAAATGCCCTATTCCCAAATGATTTTGGTATGCACGGAAATTTGAGAGAGCAGATTAGTTATAATAATTTTGTATATGTATTGTGTTTGGGCACGTACATTGTACACTTGGACGAGTTCACGAAGATAAACAGGTTTAATACCATATTTACGTTTAATACCAATAAACAAGACAATGCACAGTTAATCGAAGATCTTAAAGGTAAGCAGCTAAATTCAGATAAGATAGGAGTCATAATTATGTTCCATTCCCCCTTTTTTTTTAAATTCCCTTTTAAAAGTCTTTTTGGTTTTGGGATGATATCCATTAAAGTCGGGGACCTCAAAAAGTTGTTTCCTTACTGAACTATATAGGGATCACTGGAAGTTCAGATATGTTGCCCCTCCTGAGATCAAGGACTACATACGCCACTGGTCAGCGCTGTTTGACACCAACTTTTATTATCCCATAATAAAGCCGCTCTGCTACCTGAGTAATGTCTCTTTGAGTGGCAGTTATAAGTGATGTGATGTTAACGAGCGGAAAACACTCGATTATAATTAATTTGTTCGATTTTTACCAACTAAGAATCCATTTTACACACCTTATCGACTGGTAAACGGGATCCGTTGGAAGAGCTGATGAGTGTTGTTACGTAATAAGCCAATGGGTTATTGTGTAAGCCGAAAGCTGAAAGGCTATCGTAAAAGTCCATGAACGTCAAAATGGCCTTGCTTCCTTCGTGTGGGTGGTATTTGAATTATTATAGTGACTGATAAGCAAATAGAACCTAAGGTGCCCATCGTGGTGATGTAGAATTATTTTATTTGTAGGCCTATAATTATTTGTTTTTCATGAGCAAATCATGTGTATGGAATATCATTTGGAACATGGAACACGCATTTCTTTGTAGAGGGTAGAAGTGAAATGCCTCAAATTAGATTGGAAAAATTTTCGGAATGTGAATTCAACGACAATTTCAATACCTTAGTGTATATCCCAGATGATCCCAAAAGATGTTTGATTACGTAATACGTCGTTGGAATGTTACAAAATTGTCTTTGCGATCGTATTCATAGGATTTCTTTTTTTGTGGTACAAAGTCGATAAAATTGACAAACATTCAAAGAAAAAATTGAAAGACGATTTTCTAGATCTTCCATCTTCACATTATTATAATTCGACCAAGTACAATCCAGATACAGAAGGCTGCACTAAAATCATTTGAATTCGGTTGGCTGTCAATTTATTGTCTAATTTCTTTCTTGAGGGAAAAAATGTTGTCAGAAATTAAAATTGACTAGAAATATAGAATTCATGTAAAATGGAGAGTCGAAAAACGATTCGGTGAAAGAACAAGTCAATGTCTTCTCTAGATCGTGCTTCGTAAGAATTTGGAAGCTTGTATAAACCATGTGTACTGCGATCATTAATTTTGTGTGCACTTTGATATACAAAATACCTCGCGTTTCGGATTGTCTCTCATAAATTAATCATAATGTATTACCCCTTTTAAAAGATATTGTGACAGGGCCACGAATTCGGCTAATATTTTACAATTTCGTAATTTTGTGTAAACATTATTTTGTCCTAAGTTGTCAGGTAACATGATCATAAAAGAATCATGAACCATTTCAATACGTGGAGTACACATGGGACATGCAGCTCCAGGAGAGACACGATCGCAGCAAGTTTTTGAAAAAGAGGGAAAAGAAAGAAGAAATTCGTATGGCATGTTTGGGAAATATATATATATATATATATATATATATATATATATATATACATATATATATATATATATATATATGGAACATGGTTGCAACTCCGAGTTTCACGCTCTGCATATAAGCATTGAGCACTGTACGGAGGAATAGACCAAATCTAAATATATATATATATATACATATATATATATATATATATATATATATATATATATATATATATATATATATATATATATATATATATAGAGAGAGAGAGAGAGAGAGAGAGAGAGAGAGAGAGAGAGGGGGGGTGGGGTAGTGTACTAATACGATGTCTATGGACTCGTGCAGGCTACGCCCCTATTTTCAACATACAGAATCCCTCTTCATAATTATGACTTACAAAATTATAACTGTCTGCTACAAATCATATAACGATTCACTGATAACAACTGGAAAATTAACTCACTGCCATTACGTCCATTGATTTTCTTAATGTCTGCCCATTTCAATTCAACGCAAAGCACAAATCTATAAAAAGCTAGTCACTTCCCAGCGAACCTTCGGCAACTGCACAAACAACCAACTGCATTATGACATCACAATCAATTCGATCCTAATACAGAATAGTCGAGAAGAGGCGATCTTGCCTTAAAACCTCAGTTTTTTGTCGAATGATATAATCTTACGCTAGATCGTCAAAATCATCAAGATTAGGATTACTGTTGTCTTCCTTTTTACTTCATACATTAAAACTAAACTGTTTCAGGCAATAGAATTGGGACTGTATTATCTATACTAACTCACGAAAAATTAACAAATATTTAAAAAAAAATTCCCAGACTGTTTTCTGTTTTTACCTGACTTTTATATAAAATTATCCAAAAAAAAGTTAAATACCAGTTTTGCACAACAGCAAGCCATGTCATTTACTTTGTTTATGAGATTTTGCTACTGCATTTTCTTGATACTAAAAATAGGTCAGGCTAGAAATAAATCAAATAGCAAAGGGTTTCAGATTAAAACGATATACAATGTAAAAAAAAAAGTCCGTTGAAGTTTAAAACAATCATTTTAGATTTAGTCCTTGAAGATAACAACAAAGATATTACCCTTTCAGTGTTTGCTTACTATATGGTTATTTATCATAAATAATCTCTCTTTTTCTCTCTCTCTCTCTCTCTCTCTCTCTCTCCTATCCATAGTACTGCCGAAAGTTATCTGGCCACGGGGGCACTACACCCCTGGATGAAAAAGCGGTGAAATAATAGTGAAAGCGGGGTATAGGTGAAAAGAACCGCTAAAGGGAGATAAAATGGACCTCTCAAGCCCCTTACCTCTAATCGATGGACTTGTTAAAAACCAATTTCATCCACATTGAGGGCGATGTCGGAGTCGATGTGTGCCCCTCCCCCCGCCCCTTCAATGATTTCAGTGCCCCTTCCATGACTAGACACATGGCACCTCCCAAAGTTATCATTACTTAGTTTTATATATACCCCCTTTAATAATCGTCTTTTTTTTTTAATGAATATACTCTTCCGTTACTTTGTTTTACTTCCTTTCTTTTGTTAACCAATTAAGTTGACTATAGCAGCTCTCATGTACACATCTCCGATAAAACAGCCCGAGGTCGAGGGCTGTATCTCGAGCTATGCTGAAGTGTGAAACTATTCAGCCAATCTAGGGCAGCACAGAGCGGAAAGCGACGCATTACAAACGCCCTAAAATCGATCCCGTACTGATTCACTAAACTTTCTAAAATTCCCCACTCTACGACTGCACTTTTTGTTGTTTAAATGGCCCATTCTTCTTGAGGACCTAAACTTAGAAATAATTTTCACTTTCCCACGCTAGCTTTTTTCCATGACCTTCCATAAATTGATACACGAGCGTGCACATAATATATAGAAACACCGATCGAAGCTGGATATAGTCATTGCATTGTGTCTCGGCCTTTGGTTTTAAGCTAGGTGTTAATAATTGTTTTAGTCTAACGGTATTTAGGTCGCAGATGACGATGGTGTTTTGTTACTTTCTGTTGTTCTGATTTGTTATTTCATGATTTGATGATCGTCAGTCTCACAGATGTTGTCAATATCTCACGTTTCAACACGTTCTCCAGCGTATATACAAAATGCGAACTGTATAATATGCAAGTGTACTGGAAGTTGCAACTGGAAATTAATTTGATTGTGCCTGTTGTATTTCATTACATAACAAAAGGATAATATTTATAGAAGAAAGCAGTACCTCAAATGATGCTTGAAAAAATCTTTAATGTATTTATCTTTAAATCTTAGACCGAATGGTGTTTTTAAAGTGGAAAGTTCATCAATTTATTGAATGAATGGATGAATAATAGGTCTAGGTACAGAAGAGCAAGGGAAGGGAAATGTGTTGAAAGAATGGGGCGAGGACGACTAAGATGACGAGGAGAGATAGATAGAGAGAGAGAGAGAGAGAGAGAGAGAGAGAGAGAGAGAGAGAAAGAGAGAGAGAAAGAGAGAAAGAGAGAAAGAGAGTAGGGTGTAAAAGACAGCGAAAGAAATACTTCTCTTTCACATTTTGTTAAAGAATCTCATGTTAGTTAAATAATTTGCAAATTAAAATGAAAATGGCAAAGAAAATGAATGTTTCAACCCGCCATTTATTTAGATCATTGTCGAAATGGTAAATTTGCTATCATTTCCAAGCAATAGTTTACATTACTAGTATATCTAAATAGGTTGATAGATACATTCTACTATATATTCTATAAACTAACTTCATCATGTGACATTTCTCAATGCTTTTACCGAGAGATAATTTGACATTTCGCTTATTTTAGATCCGAACTGGCTTTAAATGCCTTCTGTACCAGGCAGGGAGGTGGTATATTAATAAATTTCAAACAACGGAGGCTGAATTATAAACTCTACACCAATAACTCAATAAAACGCGAGTTTAATGTCCTTTTATGACTAGTCATAAAAACTGCATTACCCTTTTACCGTCTTGACTTAAAAAGGAAGCCTATTTGTCAAATGTCATTTTCCGTTGACGCGTTCCCGCTTGCCGAATGTGCAATATGTGTCGTCATATGACGGATTGTTAGAATGGGTATGGTAGTCACATTAACCCTAAAAAGGCCGGGCTATTTGAGGTCTTAGTACGGCCGGGCATTATGGCCCCCCTTAAGATCTCGACCGCGAAGGGGCCGATTACCTCGAAAATTTGCACGCATGTCAGGTGAAGTGTATATAATAATATGAAAATTTGAATTTTTTGAAAAATTCACTCATTTGCATATTTATGGTAATTTATGCAAATAAAGTCATAAAAATCACATTTTTACCCATAAGTCATATATTATTCATATTCAAGCATTCTTTTTCGCTACATATATTTATTAGACCACTCTGAATAATAATACGACAAATTTTTTTGGGAGAGCCAGCTTATTCCTTATGTTATCCCTTGTTTTGATAATTTCTTATGTATTTCATTGTTTTTTTAACGTATGTATTTCATTGTTTTTGTTGTTTTATTTCATTTCTTACTACAATTCAACTATTTTGACTCCCAAAACAACCACCTAAACTTAAAACAAGACCCAATAACCCATGTTTGATCTGTTTTTAGGAAAAATGACTTTTCCATTTGTTTTGTACACAAATCACGAAAATGAGCGATTTTCGGGCTGACTTGCAAAGACAAAAGGTCACGTGACCTTGTAACCTTTAAAAATTGCGCAAGACTCGAAAGAAAAAAGTTAATGAGCGGCGGGGCGCCATCCATATGCGTTCCCGAGCAATCAGAAAAATCGTGGAGGGGGGGGGGCATAATGGCCCCCCGGCCTTATTAGGGTACAGTCGGGTTGAGAGCTGAAAATGCCAGTCAGTATACCTATATTCAAGAAACCATATCAAGGGTCTGAAGTTTATTGCATTGTTGGTTTAAGGTTTGAATATTTCCATTTTCTCTTAGATATTTTCTCCCCCGTCTCTTTTTTCCCCTTCTCTCTCTGTGTCTCTTTAACTCACTTAGGGTATTCACTCTATCCCTCCCTGTCTTTCCATCTCTTTCCCTTCTTTCTTCATCTATTATTCTAACTATACCCCTCCCCCTCTCCTCACTTTCTCCCCCTCTCTCTCCCCTAACTTTCTCCCCTCCGCCTCTAGCTCTCCACCTCCCTCCCTTTCTAGTGGTCATTTCATGTAAAGATACCTCAGCTAACTGATTGTGACAAGGGCTTATTGCTGTACTCAAAAATAAAACATGATCCAGCTAAAAACAGAAAGTGTTTACTAGTAAAAACATAGTTTTTAATACAAAATATTGTACAAGTATTATCATCTAACCGCCTGCACATGGTATCAATGTTCTTTTACTCAATTTATATCATCAATAATGTCCTTCAATTTATGACTGCCCAGTAAACAAATAAATACATTTTGAGGGGTCAGTGACACAAAGACGTGACTCCACTTTGGCCATTTTTGAGAAAAAGGGGTTTAAAGATAGAGGTCCACTTGGGCTTTAAGTCTATGTTTCACTAGCCATTGACTTCAATGGGGTGTTGGGTGGAGTTGAGTTTTTGTGTTACCTGGAAAGCCCACAGTTTGATATCAAACACTCATTTTGGTAAAATATGGAGTTCATCTTTGTGTCACTGAACCCTGATTTATATTACAAGCACTGATTAGGGCATTCTGGTGATATGGGACTATTGGAACGAATTAAAATTGAAAATTGACCTTTCAAGCACATGTCATTAAATAATTAACGCCATTCTCTTGGAAGCCAAAGGTATGAAATTCAACATGGCTGCAAAGTATTAATCAGTGGTTTTCAAGTCCTCTTAAAAGGGGTGTAGCATGACGAGACTATGTGTCTTTCCCGTGGCCTGACTTGGGACCAATCAGGTATAATACGACTACGGACAACGCGACTGCAGTATTCACGTGCATGCAACATATGCGAAACCGAAGCATGAAGAGAACTTCAGTCTGTCAGTCGTAGATGGCGTTAATCAGTATTTGCCATGCTACACCCCCCTTTAACATTTCCTGCATTATTAGTCAGGTTTCTTAGGCCCATACTTAACTCAAAGTTTGTATGTATTGATTGCAATGTCAATTATATATATGGGGTTTTACATGAGAGAATAAACCTAGAGTATGAGACACAGTTGGTACTGGTGAAGTCTGTAAATAATACATGTCTATGCCAGAATCCTAAAAAAGACTTTGTGTGAATCATTTTGAAGGGATTGGGTCTCTTTGTCTCAGATTCTGAAACAAAATCCTGGATTTAGCTCATGCTACAATGATAATTATAAACCTTTAGGTCAGTCAGGAACCCCATGAATTTTAAAAGCAGATCGACTGTCTGATTAACAAGATATTTATGATTGGAAATTGAAATCAAATTATATGGTTAGCATGCATTTTGCAATGTTGGTAATGCTGTCTATTTGTATAAAGACAATGCATGAAGAGTGCATTAATTGTACAATGCATGTATACCTGTCAAATAATCTTATTCAAGCTTAAGCTTCTGATCAAACAGATTTATGTAAAACATGACCCCAAACCTAATTGCTGGAATGGACTTCAGGAAATCTCCAATATAGGCAAGATCTACCTAAATCTATATTTCACCCGTTTCATATATATATATATATATATGCAGACAGAAAATCTCAAACAGCCTCCAACTCAACTGTCCAATATTTCCATTATGTAGTCCCACACACTCAGTTTCTTGTTGGCACCATTTGATATAATGTACGAGAACATGTGCTGTGTATACAGGATGATGCTCACAAATCTGTCTCTGTTTCTTTCGGGTCGTCAAGTTGGCGTCAGGGTGTACAGCGTGATGATGAGAATATAAGCTGACAAACTTTCTGCAACTCCAACCTGTGGATATGAGCACTTCTCCTTCACAGTCCAATATACTCGAATATAAAGTTGGTCTCCATCAAAGCTTTCAAGTTCACTGAAAATGCACAGTTATTGTCTCAGTCCCAGAGTTTGATGAGTCCATCCCAGCCACACGTTATCACTTTTGATGTTTCATGCGGATGCCACAGACAGCCGATACACACACCGTCGTGCGCTTTCAGCTTCGTGTACAGTTTTGTGCTCTTCCAGTCCCATACATTCAATTTGCCATCGGCATCTCCAGAAACAACGTAACTGTAAATATAAGATGGTAAGCATGCATTTTCAACAACATATATCATCATCTATTTTTATTTAAACGTTACATACAGTGGATTTCTTGTACAATATTTGCTCTGAATTTGTCATTTAATCCACACACAAAAAAAGGATCCGAGTGTATTTTCTTATTGCTCTGGCGCCTACCAATACTGCACTTTGGTGGCACGATGGCCCAGTGGTCTCGTATCCGGGAGGTCCTCGGATCAAAAGCAAGTCGATGTGCCAGTGCCCTTTGGTATAACACATTAATTCTCTTTTCCAAGTCCCTTGGAGAGGACTTAAAGCCATCGGTCCCCTGGTCGCTTACTTACAAGCATACACATGCTTTCTTAGCAGTCAGGTAAAACAAATATTGTCCGAACCTCGCGAGTCTTCTCATTCTATTATATCCCAAGTTGGCCACTCAATATTCATATTTGCATCTTCTTTTTTATCTTTATATAGCAAATTGAAATCCAACTACCACGTACATCTGTGAATCTTGATGTGCATCCCCTCTTTCTGTTTTTCTTCTTTTTTCTGTCTTTTTCCCCTTTTACCAATATTTTGTTCCTCCATATTTGTATTATTATGTATCCTTTGAGGGTAGTCATACTATCAAGCTTTGCTTACTTTGTCAACCCTCCTGTTTGATGTTTTCGATTAGTTACAGCCAGCCTTACTTTATTCTACATATATTCTTTTGTCATGTGTAAATTTGCAATGTTTGTTTGTTATATATTTGTAAAAATGCAAAAGAAAAAGAAAATCGAACAGAAATAAATAAATCAAATCAAATCAAATCAAATAATGACCACTTACCTCATATCAGGAGCAAAGTCCATCTGGCAGGCATAACCAGCAACCATGTGACCTTTGAAGATCTTTTTCCTGTTCTGTCTGAACCTGTTGATGGCGCTGTAGATCACGATCTGATTGTCCATCGCCTGGCAACCCAGCCATTTACCTGGTAAATAAAATAACGTGGTGTGATATAGCAACGTGTAACATTAAATCCAAACATGTTACTCGAGACAAAATTATTACTTATAGTAACAACAGCAATGATGATGGCTTCTCACGTAGCACTTATATCTGTCACACGGGCTGAGATTTGAATCCTCAACCCTTGAATTGAGAGTGAAGTGAACGAACCACTATACCACATCATCTCTAGGTTTCCGTATTCATACAACTTTCCTCTTCCTTTCACCAACTCTCTACTGATGGTACATAAGTATTTTTGGGGTAAACACTTGAAATCTTAACAATTTTAATCACCATGGCAACAATAAAAGAAAATTTCTAATTTAAATGTACATATCCATCTACCTTCAACAAAAAGTTACAGCATTTAAAATCATAATAATTGAAATAAGTGTGACAACAATATAAGAAAAATTGTCAATTCTAAGGTACATATCAACCTACCTTAAAAAAAAAAAAGCATTTAAAATCATAATAATTGCAATACGCGTGATGACATTAAAGCAAATTCTCAATTCTAGTATACATATCCATCTACTTCCATCCTTTTACTCACCATTATGACTGAGAGAGACGCTGGGCATACTGTGCATGCTGGGGTCTGCGATGTACTTAAAATCTACAGGAATATCCCATTCCCACACCCTCAGACTCTTGTCGTCCGAGGTCGTCACAAAGCGTTTGTTGTTATCGACGAACGTGATGGTGTTGACGGCTCCCAAGTGGCGATCGTACTCCTGAACGATCTCGTTGCTTCTTATGTCCCACTGTAAGAGCAAAAGGAGATTGTGAAATTTTAAGGTTTGAGTTGTATTTCTCAATTTTAAAGCATGCTATATTACATCATCCCTATGATTTTACCCACATTAAAACCTCGTAAAATGTATTACGAGTACACCATTACTTGTTTTATTCTTCTTAATTTCTCTCTAAGAGACATAGGAAATTCAATAGCTTATTTAAAAATTATACAAAGAAGAAAAAGATACTGTAGAAGAGTTTAAGTCATGAAAACTATAGAAATATGAAAACACCAATGTGTTAAAACTTGAACCCATGTCCATTAACTGATTCTATTTAATATTCAACTAGGCTCCCTTTAATAAAAAACCCACTATTTGCTATTACTGTAAGCTTTCTCTTTTCTCATTTTTATTTTTTCCTTAAATTTTTTTTAAAATTCTACATCTTCCAGACCAACTGCACTCTAAACCTCCTCTGTGGTGGATCCTTACAGAAGGGAAAATGCAAAAGAGAAGGCCCAGGATCACCGGGCGAAGAACCTTCCAAGATGATCTGAAGGCGATGAATCTAGAATGGCACGACTTTGATAGAACACCGGCTGATCAAAGACATCGGAGAAAGCTTGCTGCCCAATGTGCTCACCGGTACAGGGCCCGTTTCACAAAGCCTTTTTTCAATGACAAAAATCAGTGACAAATCTGCTGATAACCAATCAGAAGCAAGGATTTCAGTAGCTTATAACAAAAACTGTCATTTTTTACTGATGACATGTTTTGTGGATCCCCCCCCCCCTCAAGGATGATCTAAGTCTAAGTATTACTGTCAACCCACCTGTACAATTTTCTTGTCTGACATGCCAGCCACAAAGATGTGCTGTTTGTCCTCCTCTGGGTTGAACTTCACACAGTACGGAACCTTACGACTCGTAAACTTCTCAATACACTCCCCTGCAATGAAATACAAAATATGGTATAAGTTTGATGTTTTCGATTTGTTACAGCCAGCCTTACTTTATTCTACATATATTCTTTGGTCATGTGTAAAATGTTAAATGTTTTGTTTGTTATATATTTGTAAAACTGCAAAAGAAAAAGAAAATCGAACAGTAATAAATAAATAAAATCAAATGGATAACAATGAAGACAACACTAACAAGAACAAAATTCTATTTTTGTATTTTCCATGTCAGATTATGCAATGTGATGTGTAACATCTCTATATAGTTTCATAGGACTTTGGGATTTTTTTTTCTGGGTTTAACTGGGTAAAAGTGAATTGAGATAAGTAAATGCCTTTGGGTCGCTAAGAAGGACTTTACTCTAACAAGGGTCCAAGGGCAAATGGCCACCAAAACCTTACAGGGATCTCAAACTTTTTACGATCATCCCATTACAAGATACAGCATAACTCACATAGGTTTTTTACAAAACGTTATCTGATGAACCCCTTATAACAAAGATATGTTTGTTCTTTTCTGTATAAGGACAAAACTTTAAAGCCTATCCACACTAATTTGGCCAGGAGGGATTAGACCTCCCTGCGTAAGAAAATGGGGACCATGGGGGACCAACGGCTACCGATTAGGCATTGTTTGTTATATAGAGGGCACAAGTAGCTATAAATAGTGCAGTAGGGCTTTAAGCAGTTCAAAACTGAGAAGTATGGAACATTCTGACTTGTGATAAAAAAGCAAAGGTAACAAACCTGTTTCTGTGTCCCAAAGCTTGATGTAACGATCGTAGGCAGCACTGAGAAACTTTGTTCCATCGTTGTTGAAGCATATATCTCTGACGGCCTGTTTGTGACCTGTGTAAGTTCTGACTAATCTCCTCTGGTTGTAAACCTCCCAAATCTACAAACAACAAGAATTCAATTCATCATAATATTATACAAAAATAACACATGAATTTTTTTTTTTTAAATATAGTTTTGAATTTTATTAATTACACTGAAAGCATGAGCACAATGAGCAAAAGTTGCATAACAATGAACTTTTGTGCAACATCTCATAAGGTTCATTTAAAAAATAATTCTATTGGAAAATAAGCAAAATATCTTTGAAGTAATGAAAAATGATCAGATGTTAATAACACTTTTACCCATTCAAAATGACAAGTTTTTCAAAATTATAAATGTAATACCATCTTAGCCTTCTTATTTTGTCAGTGGAACAATTGAACAGTCAAAGAATATTATCAATCATGCCTAATTGATGTGGCAAAGCTGATGTATTTAGCCATTTGTGAGTTTTATTTTTGGATGGATGAGGGAATAACATTGTATTAGTCATGCTGATTAAACATAAATCCGCAATATCATCTAAAATGTCATTACAAGCTATATATATATATATATATATATATGATACTGCTAGTTAACACAACAAAATAAAACTTCTTTAAAGGGACAGATTCACTCGGATTTCTTTGTTTATAATAAGGTTTATAAGATGATGACGTGGATCCTCATCAAATATTTGATTGAGAGTGTACACATGACCAGGCATTTATTTTGCCTAACACGTAATTTTGATAATGACCGGTCATTATCAAATGCTAATGACCAGTCATTAGCAAAATTATTTTATAAAACAAACAAAACATAATCTTATAAAACAAATAATACACATCATTTTGTTCGGGCATTAGTAAAATTACCCACACTCAGTACCTTTCAAACAGTCCAAACACCCTCAGCTATCACCTCAGGCATGATAGACTGTTCTTACTAATGCCCTCACTGCTGTGTATTATTTGTATAATAGTAGTACCTTGATTTTACTGTCCATCCCGCAGGAGAGCAGAAGATGGCCGGAGCCAGGGAAGAGCCTGATCGCTGCCACGCCCTTGGTGTGTCCGGTCCACTGGTGGATGGCCTTCTTGGGCAGGTAGCACTTCTCTGGAGGCAGCTCAGACTTGAGATCCACGTCCAGGTCTTGGGGTATGTGAAGGTAGGATCTACCCTGGTAGTCGTAGGCATCCTTGACTGGTAGGCGGAAAAGAAAAGCGAGGTAGTTTGGTTGATTAGTTGGAGGTTGTTTGAATGGTTGATCTATCAAACATTGGTCGTTTGACTGAGGATTTGTTAACCGGTCTGACCCAAAATCAACGTCTAGTCTTGGGGAATGTGATAGTTATTTAACATTCTTCAGGTTTTTTAATCAGAGCATAACCGGTCTATGTATCAAGACATTCATTAATTTTAAAAAAGGAAAGAATATTTTGTTAATCTAAATTATTTCATGCAATAATCAAAAGGCTGTGTATTCCTATTTTGTTTTCATTCTGAAAGTTTCTTTAATCCATTTTTTTTTTTGGGGGGGGGGGGGGGGAGGGGAGGGATAGACATACCTACAGGAATTTCATAAGAATATACTGAGCTACAAACAACAACATAAACTTAATATTACGTCAAACTCCTTCTCAAAACAGACAAAAAGTTGGTAATATATTGTTGTGAAAACCTACACATACTTTAAATTTGATAAAAATGTGTGTTGTGCCCTTGAAAATGTACCCCCCCCCCCCTCATTTTTTGTTGATTGAACACCCCTCACAAAACATAGAACAACCCAACCCAGAATGGGAGATAAGGAATTGGTAGCTGCTGGGCTGGCATCACATTGTTTTAGCTGATGCTTCACTCTCGTTTTGTCCATTTTTAGAATAACTCCTGGAACCCCGTAACATGTGTAGGTCCTGTAAAGCTCTTTGATGTGTATCCTGCTTAGGAGCTTTTCAGTTTTACACTGAGGCAACATTAAGCTCCTTAAAAGGTGGACCTGTGCTCTATACAAGTAGCCACTATTATTATAAGTATTATTATTATCTGCTCGTACGACTTACTGTGCAGCGTAGTCTTCTCTTCTGCTGGTTTATCATCCACCTTCTTGCCTCTTTTAGCTCTCTTAGCAAGGATCTCATCTAACTCTGTCTGCTCTTCCTATAAAAAATAACAAGAAAAAAAATATATATGTTCCATACTTTATCTTTTATGATTTTAAAGATTACAAATCACAAAATACATCAAAAATAAGCAAGTGTTCAGCAGAAATTGATTCCATTTCAGGTGCAAAATGGAAGGGTTTCACCTAGCTCTGTCTGCTCTTCCAATACAAAATAACATGGAAATATTCCAACTTTTCATGTACCTTACCTTACCTTTTATGATTTTAAAGATGACAAATTACACAAAATACATACACAAATTAGGAAGTATTCAGCAGAAGTTGATTTAAGGTGCAGAATGGAATGCATTTTCTTTTGCAGAAGATCTTTTCAGAAATCAAGTGTATGAAGGGTCATGAATCCATACCATTGTAGCTTTTCATATCCCTAATTAGATACGAAAGGCCTTTGAATTATAAGCAAACCATCCAATGAAGCTCCAAGTCTTATCCTACAGAATTGTGGACCTTTGCCTACTTCATAAACATCAACAACAAACTTGGCTTTGAACCAAGGATATCCTTGTATAAGGTTCACAGCTCTGCTTAGACCAATGATAAAAACAATATGTCACAGATAATACCAATTAAGCAACGCGGGACCTCAATTTTTAATGAGGTAATAATAATAATAATTTAGTTTACCCAGCCAGGGAGGGCTCGTCAGCATCAGAGCTTTTCTTCCTGAGGGCCCTGCAATTATTACCCCAGCCAGGTATCCCTTTTACTCCTGGGTGAAGAATGGCAAATGTGGATTAATGTCTTGCCTGGCTGAGATTTGAACCCTCAACCCTTAGATTGAGAGTCAAGTGAATAAACCACTCCACCACGACATCACCACAAATAGTTTATAGGTAAATAGATTATTTAGAATAGAGTAACACCTACCTCAGAAGGCTTTGCTACAGTCTTCTCGTCCACATACTTCCCCCAAGGACCCTCAAAGCCCTCGATGTCTGAAGCATTTCTGTTCTTCACTCTCTTACGTTTGTCAGCTTCCCTTAACTCTACCGACTCAAAGACTGTTTTACCTGCGCAAGTAATAACATAGTGATATAATGCAATATAGCAGATGTATTGTAAAAGACTAGGACAAGCCCAATTTGGATAAAAACATACAGATTTGCAAGTATTACCTACATTTTTAAACTAGAATGGCTTTCTTCAGACACATGCATGTAGTTGCCTTCATCTTTTTTGTATTAGTAATGCATGTCAGAAAAAATGGAGCCTTAAGTTGATCAATACTATAAGAATTATCTAAAATAAATAAATGAAACCCCAAAGAATATTTTGTGAATGTTGGGTAATAAGAGAAATTCAGTTCGATCGAAACATTGTTCATTAAAATAGAATCTGATTAATATATTTTGTTCATGTAAAGGATGTACACTATGGTACAGCATAGGGCATGGTTCAGTGCATTTAGCAAAGTCATATGGTATCAGAGTTTTTCCTTGTTAAATCAATATCACTTTTCCTTTCATCCAAGTATTTTTCAAATTATTTTAATGGCCATGTTCCACAATGTGAAGTAATTCACAATCAGTTCAAAATATTTTCATTCTTTGGACCACTGCTCAGCAGCCACTGAATGAGATATTTGGTTCACTGTCCTACCAAACGTGCACATTAGTGTCAAAATACACAGAATAATTGAATTTCCCATAATGTTTTTGCTGCTGCTGCTGTTGTTGCTGTTATAGTTGTTCTTCAAAATATAACTATTCCTACCTTCTTCCGGCTCGGTTCCCTCTTTATTGGACACAATATGTTTCCCACCCGTCTCAGTGCTGGGATCAACAGCAAAACCTGACGAGGAAATGGAGAATAAACAAGAAGTGTATACAAGTGTAAAAAATATTGTACAGTTCTAATAACCATCATGATCTTAAGAGCGAAATCTCCTGCCTGCAGTCAAATCATATGAATTTAAATAAAGACAAAACAAAAACAAGGTACAAACGAACTAGTTGGCCTTTTCAGGGCCAACTAAATCTGTCGAAAGCATATCTTGGCCACAGTCATCATATTTGTTTAATAAATACATGGAAGTATAAAAACAATCATTTTATGATGGAACATACATTTTCTTTTCATATTATTCATGAATCTTAGTTACAACAGTATGAAAACTCAATTGCAAGATTCTATTTCCTACCATAGCTTGAGAATGTTCTTCTCTGGTTCTCAAAATGGAAGGGATTTAGATGGGCAGGTTCCACGTAACCAGCTAGAGTATTCTTAGCAGCAGCCTGTTGCTGAGTCCTGAAGGGGTTAGCAGGACCAGCCTAAAGGACAGGAAAATACAATAATAAAACATTAAAAGGATATAATTGTTTTATTTTAAAAAAACTTCACGGCACTATGTATTATCTATTATTCTGAATAAAGACAGCCTATTGATCCAAGCTGAATGCTAAAGTAAGATATCAATTTAACAGGAATTGAATTAAATATTGGCAAATGCTTTCATTTTAACGTCAATTCCTGTTGAAAATACTATCACCTTTAAATATAGCATGGTAGCATGGCTAAAGCAAAGGTAATAATATGATTCTCAGGAAAAACAGTGTTAATAGTGATAAGGCTACACTTGATAAAATAAGACCACATCATTTCCATCATTATATGACTACCATAATTATTATCATTTTTGTTACTATTATTATTATTTTTTACTGTCATTATTATTATCCTCATAATCACCATCATTATTATCATCATCATCATCATCCTCCTTCATCATCATCATCATCATCATCATCATCATCATCATCATCATCATCATCATCATCATCATCATCATCATCATCATCATCATCATCATCATCATCATCATCATCATCATTATAATTATTACTTACCTGTGGCTTGTACATCTGCTCATACTGAGGATTATAAGACACTGTCTTTGTAGATGGATCTAGGGGCTGGTAAGGGTTAGTACCATACTGGAAAGGAGGTAAAAGAGACAACAGAACATTAAAGTTATTAAGCAAATAATAATTTAGAGCATAAGTAAGTATAGGCCTATATTTGGACCCTTAATTAAATATGTTCATTTTTTGTTTCCATGTTCTGGTAATTGATACACTTAGATGGCAGGAAGAAGAGAAAAATGTGAATTAAAAGAACAAGTTTGTGACAAAAATTATTATTAGAGTTATAATACAACCTTTGATATGGTATAGAGTTCTGAGTTACATTTAAATGTACACAAAAGAAGAAAAGGAAAAAGAAGAAAAAGATGAAGGAGGAGAAGGAGAAAGAGGAGTACCAACAAAAAAAAAGGAGGAGGAGGAGAAGGAGCTGGATACTTGATGAGGTAATCCCTGAAGCAGCTTTTCCAAGCTATACTGGGATGAGATGTGTTGTGACAGCAGGTGAAGTAACAGACAACAAAAGGGTGTACAATTTCTAAATTATATCCAGTAAAAACAGTGATGTGTGCATGTAAGTAAAAAGAAACATGCTGCTAATGCTATATGGAGGAGGAGGAGGAGGAGGAGGAGGAGGAGGAGGAAATGCCAAACAAAATCCTTCATTCATTCCAAGTCAACAATCATTTAAAATCAATTTATGCACTCTCAACTTTCTTAACTTCGTATTTTTCAAATCAAGTGGGGAATGAGCTTCAGCGCATGCGTACTTTCTCTTCGCCATGTTGAGTCGAAGATACAACATGGAAGAATCGTCGGGGTAGGTAGGCACATTCATATGGCACTAGAGGGCGCTTCGCTCGCGTACGAACATCTGAATGGCCTTGCTGCAGTGGGTCGGCAATAATCAGCCCAAAACTTGGATATGGGAGGGTGGAAGGATATATCTTTTTTATAATGTTATCCGGTCTTACCCCTAACCATCCTATGTTTAATCTATGTAGAAATAACATGCGAGTACAAGGAGAGAAACATCGGGCCCATTACTGATGCAACTTTTTAAATATTAGCCTAGAAATGACTACTAAACGGAAAAAATTGACATTTTTTTTCTGACAAATCTTCATAAAATCTGAGTTATAAACAACTCACAACTAGGCTCGGTAATACAAATACGATTTTCTGAAAATTCAGGTGTGATTTGTTTAGTTTCTTTCAAGTATATTTCTGCGCATCGCAGCGCCAATTTTCTTCACTGCTTCAAAATCACCCTTGAAATTTTTTTTTGCAACGAATTTGATACGAGGTCCGCGAGTGTTCCCCGTTCCTTGCGTGTTGAAAGTTTGGTAATACATAGTTTGCATTGACTCGCGCACGAAAAAATGGCTCGAAAACAAATGTCAAATGAAGAAATAAACAAGCTTTTGTATAATTATAAGAGATTTACCGAGGTTTCTTTGTCAATTTAATTTATTATAAAGTAAAGTGTCAATTAGAGTTCAGAATTATCTCACTGAAAAGTTAAGAAACCGACGATGTTCTCGATCGTAGTTATTTTCACTTTGCCAGCAGACGATCTAGCATTTTTTTGGCAAAAAGCTAGCCCGCCACCTTCCCACCTCGAACCTTTCGAGTTCTGATAAAATGGCGTGCTGCGGAGCTCCGATGGTGCGTTGGTATCGCTGGCAAACTCTCAGCCGGCTAGCTCCCCACGACGGACCATTCGCGGTATGGCGAGAGTGTGTGTGTGAGATATGATTTTGGATTCGAGAACGCACGTAATGCAACCGTGCGCGTCATTTTCAGCTGTTGAATGCCTACGACCAATTTTACATGTACGATTTTTAGTACAGATACTTGGTCAGTTTTCTTCTTATAGATCTATCTTTGGTTTTACAACATTTAAAAATATAATTTCTTCAAATTTGCTCCTGACTCGGTTCAGACTAATTGTCTGATGTGTTTTCAAATCAATTTTTTGAATATATTTTTTTGCATGAATTTGCCAGCCCTAGATCTAGGTCTAGATCTAGTCTAGGGTAGCCTTAAGGGCTCTCTCGAAATGTTTTTTTAATGATATTATTCGAGAGAGCCTTAAACGGCTCTCATACCCCTGCACGGAGAGGCATGTAAACAAAACTCAAAAGTGGTCCAAAATCACACTTTCGCGCACCCGACCAATATTGGACAGTGGCTTTGATAAATTTTGTCGTAGTTTTGGTCTTAATTACCGCTTTAATTTCAAAATCGGATCTGAAAATAACAAAATAAGAGCAATTTTCTTACCAGACCGATACAGCTCAGCTCCCTTTTCACGTGTACCGTGTGAATTCACGATGTCTACACAATGGTGATGACCTCTGACTGGCACTTCCGTAATTGTGGGTAAATTGTGCTGCTTCCGTATAATGCGCTGTATGAGTGTTATTCAGCGCATTATACGGAAGCAGCACATTTACGAAGTGCTAGTCAGAGGTCATCACCATTGTGTAGACATCGTGAATTCACACGGTACACGTGAAAAGGGAGCCGAGCTGTATTGGTCTGGTAAGAAAATTGCTCTTATTTTGTTATTTTTAGATCCGATTTTGAAATTAAAGCGGTAATTAAGGCCAAAACTACGACAAAATTTATCAAAGCCACTGTCCAATATTGGTCGGGTGCGCGAAAGTGTGATTTTGGACCACTTTTGAGTTTTGTTTACATGCCTCTCCGTGCAGGGGTATGGGAGCCGTTTAAGGCTCTCTCGAATAATATCATTAAAAAAACATTTCGAGAGAGCCCTTAAGGCTAGTCTAGGGTAGGACAAAGAATCACCCCCTTTTCCCCATCAGAAACTTCTTCAAATTATAATTTCAAGTGGCCAGCCAGATGCCCAGAGGAGTCGAGCAACCTAGTAAGTCAAATTTGTATTTACTCCCTTTGCATATTTTGAGATAATGTCGCCCAACCCGCTGTTTGAATGTTTTTCTATGCACCCGCTGAAGATCCGACGCCTTTGGCGATGGCGTCGGCGTCGGAGCTTCCTGGAGTTAACACTTAATCTGACATCAATTCTGACATGTGGGACCACACTATACTCACGTCGCTCGTTTCGTCGACAGTTGGTGCTGCATTCAACTGTAATTTCACTTGCAGTGATTGAACCGTCCGATTCTTTTCCAGTGGTCTAAGATGTGCCGTTACATCTTCAGAATGGGCCTCCTTATCACTAATGTCTTCATCACTTTCGTCACTTTCATACGCTTGCAAAGCAGAGATCGCTGCCATTTTCGCGTCGATTTTATTTTCTTTGAAATTTGCGACGATAAAGACCGCTTTGATCACATTGTATTTTGTACATTGCCAATTTGCAGATGATTGCAGGAATATCTGGGATATAACCATAGAGATGTATACTACTTATTAATATATATCTCTATGGATATAACACTCTTTCAAAACATGTTTGATAACCTTTCGTTCCTAGCTGGTTTTTAAAATAAATGACAATTCTCTGAGTGTAATCTTTTTTTGACTCACACGTATATAGTAGAAAAAGGAACTCATGATCGGTTAAATTTCTTAACATATAAGTGATTTATTGTCATCATCCGGTAAGCGAGGGAGGGGGCCAGGGGTCTACTTTCTATTTGGAGGAATACTGCGTGGTTATAGACCAACCTCAGCAAACTCGTCAATGTGCCATTGAAAGCCAATTCACTCATAGCATAAAAACTTAATAAAGGGGTCTTGGGCGGAGCGGGGGGGGGGCGTCCTTTTTTCTGCGTCATTTTTTTCTGCGGCACAGATTGGGGCTTTAAAAAAAAAAGGGTCTTTATTTAACCCTAACCCTAACCCTAACCCCATTATGCTCAACACGCACCTAACCCCAACCTGTGCTGCAGAAAAAAATAACGCGAGCGGGGGACAGAGAGCGAGATCGAGACCAGTAGCATACTTTTTCCGACAGCCAGTTTAGCTAAAGTAGTACTACTGTATAGAAAGAATGACATGAACCGATGTTGTGATTTCATAGGACTATTATTAGTCTTGTGAGCATATATTATAAGACACAAATTCCGTTTGAGTTCGAATTTGGAAATATTTCAAGGAAAAACAACCACAATTTGTGATTTTCAGTCCGTATTGTGACATGATTAGATAGGATAAAATTAAATAAATAGTCTTTCTCTTTAATACCACATAGTGCATAACATGAGATCAAATGCAAAAAATAAATTGTTGAAGGTTAATTGATACACAAACTGTGTCATTTTTGTATGAAATGATACTTATTATATTCCTTCTTCTGTTCTTACTCTCTATAATAACAGGCAAAATATCCTGAGAAAATTCTCAGATCACAAAGATAATTTTATGGTTTTCTTTGAAGGCGTCACCGTTTTTCCATGAAGAAAAACAAGCTTATACAAATCTTTCAACACTTAAATGTTTGGAATGGTATAAAGCCAATTTATTGATTTGTGACAATTTACATTCACATAAGTTAAATTGTAATAATATAGATGGAGCTTTCCCATTTTGTATCAATAATGGGCTGTTCAGTTCGCTCAAACTTTCAGATTATCTCGGTACATCTAGCATTGAAGTCACTAACTCATTTCTCTCATCTCAACAATGTTACTAAGTCCCTTTAACTTTTTAAAGGAGAGCAATTAGTTGTATTTCTTTTATATTAATTGTTATTCTCAAAGTATTTAAAAGTAAATCTTGTCTTGTGCTCATTCTTCATTTTGACTGTGATTACTTAAATGAAAACGCAAAATGACTACTTAATTTGTTAATAGGACTCCATTGAAGATAAGTTGTTTGACTTTCTTGAATCATATTGTCAAGATATTATTAGTGTTATTTGTTTTCATTTGTATACTTATAAATCAAATATATATAAATTACATGTATGATGGAGATGTCGTAATTATATAGGATTTCCCGGCCAAATTCGCGCGTTTGTCATTCAAATTCATTTACTTTGCATTTAAGTTAGCGCAGATCGGCTTTGCTATGCCAATTATCATTCAATTTTCCAGTTTTTGTATTTAATTTAGGATTTTGGTCGAAGGGTTTCATAGATCTGTCATTCAATTTAGAAACTGCTCAACTAGCATTCAAATTAATATTCACTTGTCCGATAACATCAGGAATATGTTTTAATAATTAATCTCAAGGAAGGGATGATACCGGCATACAAGCAAAAGGCGAAATAGACAACATTATTAAAGGTGAAGATGGAAAACGACATAGACAGGGAGACAGACGGACAGAGAGAGGGAGAGAGAGAGAGAGAGGGGGGGGGATAGAAAGTTGGACGTAGTCTGTACTGTTATTATTATTATCATATTTTTCTGACTGACCCTCCCCCCCCCCCCCCCCCCCCCCCAACTCAGATTTTTTTTCTTTCCATTTCGTTGTTTTGTTTTGTTTATATCTTTGGGCTAAAGTATAATATCCGACGTATAATAGTACCGTTAATATAGCATAATAAACATTTTTTTTTTTTTTATATCAGTTTGATGCAACAGGGATTTACATTCAAAAGTTTTACTTTGTATAATTATTGTACAGTAATGTTCTTCTCATTTCGACATTATCAGCCGCTCGTTCTCTATTTCGTTTCCTATTATAAATATAAGGTATAATGTCTACATCATCAGGGATAATTATGTGGCCAAATTCGCGAGGTTGTCATTTTAATTAATTTGTCTTGCGTTCGAATTCGATGGTTTTAGTGCTGTCAGATATATCTTGGGTTTATATTCATTTTTCCTAGTTTTCAAATCTATGAAGTTTTTGTTGGAATCTATGTATGCTTCATTCTAATAAATGAATAATGTGCTTCTTTCACTATTTGGTCATTCAATTTGGCGCAACGCGATTTTTGAAATCGCGAAGGTGTACTTTTAGCATTCAAATTCATTTGTAGCATTCAAATTAGCACTTTGTGCACTTAAATTGATGGTCCATATACATTTCTCGTTTATTACACACTTTTTATAGCTCATTCTTCTCTTTCAAGACTGTTTTTGTCCATGTGTATTTCATCATATTTTATTTTCTTGCCTTTAATATACACTTTATATACTTTTAGATTTATCTGATCTTCATCATCCTTTAAGTTTGATTGTTAAGAAAGAAAAGAAAAAAACGACTTACATCTATGGACTTGATGGTCTCAATATTTTTGTAAATTTGTATGTACGGAAGTTGTTTGTTTTGTGTTTCATCATCAATTTATTCCAAATTTCAATATGGAGGAAGGGTACAATATTGTGACTGCATGGGGTAGGCATTTTGGTATCCCCACTTTTCCGGGGTATATGAACATGTCCGTGCAGAAATGCCATATAATTTGATTTCGCCCCTTCTTTACCTAATGTCTCACTACACCCATATGCATTGTCCTAAAAATTAATAAATGGAATAAGGCTATTAAAAAAAATAAACATGTTTAGCGTCCCCGCCCGCTTCCTTTTTGGGGGCCGCCTCCTATTTTTTTTTTTTTTTGAATTTTTTTTTTTTTCAAGAAAAAAAACATGAAAAACAAAATGGATCCATATCTGATTAAAAAAATACAAATAAAAAATGTCGTAGGCCATCTTGAAAAATAGCCCGACTGTCAGGGAAAACGTAATGAGTGGCCATTTTGAGCGGCCATTTTTAAAGAAAAAGGGCCTCCTCCTTCCTATTTTTCGAAAAACAGGACGCTAAACATGTTTTTTTTTTTTTTTTGGCCTAACAGAAAAGACCCTAATGGCAAATCATGCATTTAATTTTTTTTTTCTTCAAACTGTATACGTGTGTTGCATTTCTTCCCCCTAACATTCCTAATTTGAATAAACATAATTCGAATACGAATGACAAGTGCTAATTTGAATGATAAAATGACGCCTCGACAAGTGACGATTAATTTAAATGCTAGTTGAGCAGTTTCTAAATTGAATGACAGATCTATCAAACCCTTCGACCAAAATTCCAAATTGAATACCAAAACGGGAAAATTTAATGATAATTGGCAGGGCAAAGCCGATCTGCGCTAACTTGAATGCAAAGTAAATGAATTCAAATGACAAACTAGCGAATTTCGCCGGAAAATCCTATAATAATTTATCTCAAGGAAGAGATGCTGCCGGCGTACAAGCAAATGGCGGAATAAAAACGATTATCAAAAAAGGTGAAGATGGAAAACGGCATTGCCAGATAGACAAAGTGACAGAGAGAGAGAGAGAGGGAAAGAGAGAGAGAAAGAGAGAAAGAGGGAGAGAGAGAGAGATAGAAAGTTGGACGTAGTCCGTACTATATTTATTTATATATTTGTTTTTCCGATCATCCCCCCCCCCCCCCAGCTCCGATTCCCCTCCCCTTTAGTCTGTCCTTTTTTTTTAAATAGATATCTTTTCGCTGATTTATAATGTCCGACATATAATAGTATTGTCAGTATAGCATAATAAACATTTTTTATATCAATTTGATGCAACAGAGATTTTCATTCAAAAGTTTTACTTTGTAAATATAATGATTGTACAGTAATATTCTTCGCATTTCGACATTATCGGCCGCTCGTTTTCTATTTCGCTCCCTATAATAAATATAAGGTATATTGTGTACATCATCATTATGTTATGATAATTTATCTCAAAGAGGGAATGGTGCCGGCAGACAAGCAAATGGCGGAACAACATTGGCAGATAGACAGAGAGACAGACATACAGAGAAAGCGACCGAGCAAGAGGTAGAGGGAGAGAGAGGGAGACACACACACACACACACACACACACACACACACACACAAAAAATAGAGAGAAAAAGAGAGAGAAACAATCATTTCTTATATTCATCTATTTGTCTGTGAAATTTTATCTTATCACATATTCTTTTCCATTCCTTTATCGTGCATGATTGTTGTCTTTGAATGATTGTTTCAGATATTTATGAGTGTGTCGGAACGTGATACCATTAACAAATTTAAAAAACAGCAACGACAACTGCAAAAACAACGAGACCTCCTACCCCCCCCCCCCCTCCCTCCAAAAAAAAAACAGGGTCATACTTGTAGTACATACAAGGATCAGTTCATGGTCATTCAATTATACCCTTACCTAATGCCTAGGTCACATATAAACCGGGCCCCGTACGATTTTCCCTACCCGGCGGCTTGCCGTGGATTTAGAGACCGTACGGGAACCGTCCGATTTTCATTTCTACGGCATGTGTGGTCACATATTCTGCGGCGCCCGGGAGGTGCCCGGAGAAAATTGGTCGAGTGAAATGAAAGGCACCCGTAAGGGTGCCGGCCGAGTGCC